TGGTGTTGTTTGTCCTTCATTCTGGAAGAGAACCATGACATCTGGCATCAGGGAGGCGATGCCATGACATGCAAGTGAATTGGGTTGAAGTGAGGTAGGGCTGGGCAAAGTTGTCAGCCTCACTTTATCCTCCAGAGCCATCTGGCACAGTGGTGAGATGTAGATAAGGATGACATGACATGGCCCTGGATGCAATGGGAGACCTTGGCCTTTTTAAGCTAAGGTCATTAACAGATCTCAGTCTGACTGAGGCAGAGCCCATTCATTGATTAAGGCTAGGTAAGAAATGAGGCAAAGAATGGCCTCTTTACCTAGTCCAAAAAAAAAATCAGTCTGGGAGAGGACTCCGAGGGTTCCTGGGGAAAACAGAAACAGTTGCCGTTTACATTCCCTGTGACCCAGTCAGGGCCCAGGCAGTGACCTAGTGGGGCCAATTGGTCCTATTGTTGACCAGTCAGTGAGAGTCAGAGTGTTTAAGGCTTGGTCCTTTAGGCAAAAAAAAGGTTCAGAGGCCAAAATTCACGTTCTTTTGGGCAGAGCATCCTCAGGTAAGGGTATAGTACTCTTATGTCAGAGCTGCAGCTTGTGCAGGCATCTTATGACCCTCTGGCCTCTTGCTGCATGCCCAAGGATTTTGATTTCACATGGCTTTCGAAAAATGTGGAGGAAATCCTTTGGAGTCGCTGCAGGCCTACTCTGCATGGAGAGAGAAAAGAAAAGGCTGTGTTGCCCAGCTGGCAGCTCCTCTTTCCATTCACAGAGGTGGTTGTTTGTCCTTGTTCATCAGGAAGGTGATGACATGCAAGTGAATTCTTGAGGCCATAATTGAAGGCCCTCTACAATCTGGCTGCAGCCCACCCCTCCCTTGCATACTTCTTTGTTTCATACACTTTTTTTTTTTTAAGGCACTTGGGGTTAAGTGACTTGCCCAGGGTCACAGAGCCAGTAAGTGTCAAGTGTTTGGTCTGAGGCTGGATTTGAACTCAGGTCCTCCTGACTCCAGGGCCAGAGCTCTATCTACTGCACCACCTAGCTGCCCCTTGTTTCATACATTCTTCCAATCTGATCACTTTGTTCTAATCTCATCCTATCCTTTCCTATCTGTGTTCCTTTGTGTTTATTGCTCTCCTTCTGGTCTGTCAGCATTTATTAAGTCACTGGAGATACTGAAAGAAGCAAAAGCCAGTCCCTGCCCTCAGGGAGTTCACGATCTAATGAATCTAGAAGTAGACCATCTCTGCCCACTCAAATACTTCTTCAAGCCCCAATTTCTACAGGATCTAACTTGATTCCACCACCCTCTTAATCCTCCCATACAAGCAGTTCCACCTGCCTTGAGTCTCTCAGATTGCTTTTAGGCATTTGATCATTTTCTAATTTGTATCATGGCTTTTTCTTGCATGACCTATTCTCGCTACTGTAGTGTAAGTGCCTCAGAGACAGGAATTGTATTAATTTTCCATCTTTGCCACATAAGCATTTAACAAAATATAACTCATTCATAGGTATTTAATAAATATTTGCTGATTAAAATGTGAACTTTATCCTTGTTTGCTGTAGGAATTAAAGTGTGTAAGTATGAATGTTTGCCATAGAAAATGCACAAAATAGTCACTATCAGCACCCTGGAGCCAGCAATTTGATTTTGCTATTTATATTTAATGTCTTGTGTTCTGAAACTGGGCTGGAAAGGACTTTGTTAGTCAAAAAACTCTATATTGTTCAACCTTTTCCAAAACTCCCAGTAAAACCTTACTATTTGCAGAATTACTATTTTATAAAGTTGGATATATAGCCCTTACTAAATTAGACATCACAAATAAAAAAAAAAATAAAGGCTTATGACTATTAAATGACTGCTCCAAGTGTGCCTTTATATATGTGGTCATAAGTTTAATGTAATTTACATTTTTATACCTCGAATCACTTTTAAATTACTGGAGGCTGTTGATTTTTACAAGAATGCAAATCTCCAATGATATTTCAGAACCATTAGTCATCTCCTGTGAGCAGAGAGCTGTGCTGAGCCCTGGCATTGATAGAACTTTTCAAAGATACACAGTTTGTGCCCTCATGAAGCTTAATCTAGCCAGGGGAAGGAAACAAACACAGCTGTTATGCACAATGTTACCCAAGTCCTAAGAACCCAAGTAAAGTGATAGGTGAGGTTAGGGAGCACAAGGGAGAGTCAGGGCAGGAGCTTTAAAGGAGGGGAATTTAGGAGATGAAAGGGGAGGGGAAGGATGCTGTAGGCACAAGACAAAGCCTGAACAAAGACAAGGAGACAAAAAATGAGTGGTGGGTCTAGAGAGGCATCAAATTTGGCAGCAATCTCATGTGTGAGGAGGGGAATGATGGGAGGTAAGTGAAGTGGTGCTGGTATATGATGGACCATGAAACACCAAGCAGAGAGAAGAGTTTGGACTTAATTCCAGAGGAAATGGAGAACCACTGGAATTTTTTGAACTGATATAGCATAACTAATATCTATGCATAATAAAGATTAGTCTTACCGCAGTAGGAAGGATGGATGGAAGAGGGAAGAGTGGGGAGGAAGCACGTGGGAAGAAGAGAGGAGAGGGACAGATTGGGGAGGTGGCTGGGGAGGAAGGGGACAGGACTTCAGCTACTTAGATAGAAAAAGTAAGGGTCAGGGAAGTGCCACAGTGTTTAAACATTTTCTGTTTATGGTAGACAGTTGGAGGAGTGATTGGGATGGGGGTTGGAGTGGAGGAGATGATCTCTTGTTAGCTAGGGATGGTTTTTAAGTCCTCAAAGAGTAGAACTGCAGATGTTAAAGTTGTTTTGAGAAATGAACATTGGAGTCAAAATATAATTTGGTAGAATTGGAGAAAACCACTTCAGCCAAAAGAAATACAAGAAACTTCATACACAGCATGTGGGAGCTTCTCAGGAAATCCTTGTGGCTCAGTATTCCTGTAAATTTCAGCTGAGAGAAAACATACATAATACCAACGATAGTACCAGAAAATGACAAAAACAACCCATCTGGGTCATGAAGTTGCCAAGTACCTTCAAGTGCACTAAGATTGCCCTGATGGATAAAATAATTTGTTTAGGAAAAAAATAAGCCGTGTCTAACAGGAAATCCAAAATTTTGCAGAAGAAGCACTTTGAGGAAATTACTTTTGCCAAGCCTAGCCAAAAAAAAAAAGGTGACTAAGGTTCCCAACTGAATTTGGAAGCCCAAGAAGTGGCTTCTGATTTAAATGGATCGTCCCGGTTTTATCCTCTAAGAAAGACAACGCTAAAGCAGCACTATCCACTTTCCAAAATTTCCAGGTCAAATTCAGCAGACTAAGTAATAGCCCCACTGTTCTTGGCTTAGACTTACAAAGGAAGGTCCAGTGTGTAGGCAGCAGAGGCGCCAGGATTTCTGTAAGATGTTTTCGCTAATAGTTTTTTCTCTCACAACCTAATTGTACCAGATGCTTTGTACCCCTAAAAGCTACATTCACTATTGTAATCTACCAGGCTTCGTATCTAAGAGAAGTCAGAATGACTCGAATAGGAAAAGATTAGACTGTTAGAATGCTCCACAATGTATGGCTACCGCTGATAAGAGGAGAACCCGTAATGATCAGATGCTGGTCTGATGTGAAATGGAGTTCACCGAGGGAAGCAGTCGGCGGTTTGATCAGGTAGCCTACTTTGGTTTAGTTAGTAGCAGCTCCAGAAATGACTTAACTTTGGACTTAACTAAATCTGAGGGATTTAGTTCCAAAACCAACCCAGTTTCTCTTGTTCCTCAGAATCAGATAAGAAATGAGACTCAGTCATACACACCACAGTCCCCATGGCCTGTCCTAGGCTGGATTCATACAAAATTACCATTTGGAAATAAACTGGATGGGAACTAGTCTAGTTACTACCTCATTCCATGCTCCCAAATGAAGTTGATGCAGAGAGTGCAGAGCAGATGCCATGGCGGGTGTTAGAGAGTATTTGTGACACCACTATCAAGTCTGAGGTTTAAAGAAGTCCAGAAGCTAAATATGAAATGCTATTTGAAGGAAGGGTATGTCCATATGTCTAGATATATGCTGAAACAATAATATTGAACTCTTCATTTTAATTCCATACGCTTTCATATAAAGTTTTACATTTTCTCAAATGATACTGTAGATTCATACCATATTATACATGTGTATGTCTGTACATACATGCATATGTATGTGTGTATATATATGTATAGTATTCTGTACAACCTTTTTAAACCCAAGAAGATTGATACACATTCTTACCAGATGTGTTCTGTTGGGACCAAAATCTAGGGAGCAAAGGAGCAAAAAAAAGATTGTATCTTTAGGGACCCAAGGCTTTTAAACAGACAAACAAAAAATAGCCTACTCTAACGTGAGAGTTTTCTTTAGGTCTCCAAAATCATTCTTCAATGCAGTGGTTCCTTTTCTGTTCCCCTGCAGCCATAATTTATTAAATTCTGCAGCGTTTTTTTGAAACCAGAGAGTTCTTTATAGAAAAAGGCTTCTCTCTAAAGGGGGAGCTTGGGCATGTGAGAACAAATAACAGAATTTGAATGGAATATGATGACACATTTTTAATGTTCCATAGTTGAAAAGGCAGTCATTTCATTTGATCCTTATAAAGCTTTGGGGCAGGTGGTGCCATTATTACTCTTTCAGTGCTCTTACAGACAGTATCCAAGCTAAGCAGGTATCAGGCCCTGCGTGTGCTCTGAGTCCCCCAACTCTCAGTACACGGAGGGTTCTTTCCACCTGATGTAATGCTGCTTCTTGAGACTGGACCCTACAACTGTTGAATGTTTGCCTTCACTAGAATAAAGCCAATCCTTTTTACTGGCATATCTTCTTTGTTTTAGTTTTCAGTTGATAGGTTTACTTAACTATTTCATCCTTAATCATTTGTTGCCAGCAGCTAGATTGCAGTTTTGATTCTTTTGGAAATAACAAAACTCTTAGAACATACTTTAATTCTGCTTCACTTTTTATCTCTTTCAGAATTCTCCACTTTACCAGTACTTGCAAGATTTGGGCCAGACCGACTTTGAAATATGTTCTTCCGTGTCACCAAAAGCAGAACAATGCACCTCCGAAGAGGGACAGCAAGAGAATTCTACCAAGATGCCATCAAATGTGAGTACCTGCATACTAATAAGACCATTTACTGGAGAATCACCTCATTGGGTTTTTTTAAAAATCTATTCACATTAATAAGTACTTTTTTTTTTATTTCTTCCAGGCCTAAACTGCACTACATCCTGTACCCCCCCCCCGTGAAAAACACCAAAAAAATTTAAAGATTTGATTCTGACTTCATTACTCATTGTTCAGTATAAATTTTTGATATCTAGACTCCCAGATACTGTTACTTCATCAGAACCTAACTCTAAAGTAGTTTATATAAAGTGATGAAATGAGGCTACATATACTTAAATATTGAGCTTTCTTTATAGCCACCCATCAAGGAGATAAGCTAACGTGAGGTCTGGGTTTAAGAGGTAGGCCTGGACTTTGCAATCCATATGCAAGGATGCAAAGCATGATAATAGAGCTGGTGATTGTAGGCAAGCTGTGAATACTCTTCTTTTGTTCCTTTTCCAGCCCTCCTTTGTTACAGGAGTGTAACAGTATTCCAAGGACTGACCTTTGGTTACCTGGAACCAAAGAGATGGTCTTAGATAGGGGTGGGGAACCTGCAGTCTGAAGGCTGCATGTGGCCCTCTAGGCCCTCAAGTGTGGCACTTTGGCTGGATCCAAACTTCTCAGAACTGTGATTGGATTCCATCAAAGGGCTTCACTCGGGGACCCAGAAGGCCACATGTGGCCTTGAGACCATAGGTTCCCCACCCCCGGTCTTAGAGAAGAGAGGTAGAGGAAACCCAGCAAGAAGAATTCTAGCTAATGCTAAAAGTACTACTACGTAGAATTGGACTGTAGAGGGAAGGGCGAACTGCATAATGAACACTGGACGTTTATGTACCTGTGTGGTAAAGAGACTACCACCATCTCATCCCCACCTTTCCCCATCCTCATCATGGTAGGCACTCTGCTGGCAGAGGGCTTTCTGGATGGGACAAAAAAAGCCAAAAAAAAAAAGGATTATGCTGGTGAAGATATCCCAAGACATAGGATTATAACAAGGAGTATTAGAAGGAATATGACATGGACATGTGAGATGAGATGAGTAGTGGGAACACACGGAGCATATTCATGGAACAGTGAATTATCCAGTGTGGTGTGGGACAAAGTGGGAAGGGCAGGTTGGTGTCACATTATGAAGGACCTTGAATTCCAGGCTGAGGTGTTTGTGTTTTGTTTGGTAAGCCATGGGGAGCCATGGAAGGCTTCTTGAGCAGTAGAGCCACATGGTCAGATCTTTATGTGAAGAAGATTGATCTGACAGCAGTGTATAGGCTGTATTGGAGCAGGAAGGTTCTGAGACTCTTGCAGTAACCCAGGCAAGAACTTCATGAGGCTAAAGTTAGGGCAGTCGAGGTAGAAAGCAAAGGGGTCTACATGAGAGAGGTTGCAGAGGCAGGCCTGATGGAACAGGAGAGTAATTGCATGAAAGCAGTGAGAGGAAGGAGAAGGCAAAGATGACCCCAAGATCATAAGCATGAGTGACCAGGAGAAGGGGCCCATTAGTGGTTTGGGTGGAAGGGGGATGATGAGTTTAGCTTTGAATGTGTTGGGATTGAGGTGTTGAAATGGAACTGTAACCCAAAAGCTATTCAGTTGTGTAGACCCAGCAATACCACTACTAGGTCCATATCCCAAAGACATCAGGGAAAGAGTAAGAGGACTCATATGTACAAAAACATTTATTGTAGCTCTCTTTCTGGTAGCAAAGAATGGAAATTAAGGGGATGCCAATCAGTTGGGGAATGGCTGAACAAGTTGTGATATATGATTATAATGGAATACTATTATGATGCAAGAAATTGTGAAGGGCATGGCTTCAGAAAAACCTGAGAAGAATTATATGAACCAATGCAGAGTGAAGTGATCAGAACCAGGGGAACAATTTATACAGTAACAGCAATACTGTGAAAATCATCCTTTCTGAAAGACCTGATAACTGATTCACATGATGACCACCCATAGTTCCAAAGGATTCATGGGAAACATACTACCCACCTCCAGAAAGAGAACTAATGGACTCAGAATGCAGATTGAAGCACATTGTCTTCTGTTTATTTCTTTTTCTTGCTTTTTTTAGGTGGAGAAAGTAGGGAATATGGCTAATGAGGAAATGTGTTTGTATGACTATTTGTATTTGCAGTGGGTTCTTTTTTTCTTGCCTCCTCAGTGGAGCAAGGAAGAAGAGAATTTGGAAATCAAAATAAAAGTGAATTAAAAAATTTTTTATAATTTATTTATTTTTAGTTTTCAACATTCACTTCCATAAGATTTTGAGTTTTAAATTTTCTTCCTCTATCTCTCTCCTCCCCCCTCGCCGAGCCAGCATGCAATCTGATATAGGCTCTACTTATACATTCATATTAAGCTTATTTTCACATTAGCATGATGTAAATAAGAATTAGAACTAATGGAAAGAACCACAAGATAGAAAAAACAAAACATAACAACAAAAGAAAAGGAGATCAAATGAGTATGCTTGCATTGCTGAGAAGAGCTAAGTCTATGAGAAAAGCTAAGTCTATCAAAGTCAGTGACCATGCAGTGTGACTGTTACTGTGGACAGTGTTTTCCTGGTTTTGCCCATTTCACTTACCATCAGATCATATAAGTCATTCTGGGTTTTGCTGAAGTCCACCTGCTCATCATTTCTTATAGCACAATAGTATTCCATTACCTTCATATACCACAACTTGTTCATCCATTCCCCAATTGATAGGAATCCCCTCGATTTCCAGTTGTTGGCCACCAAAAAAGAGGTGCTATAAATATTTTTGTGCATGTGCGTCCTTTTCCATTTTTGGTGATCTCTTTGGGATACAGATCTAGAAGTAGTATTGCTGGGTCAAAGGGTATGCAAAGTTTTGTAGCCCTTTGGGCATGGTTCCAAGTTGTTCTCCAGAATGGTTGATCGGTTCACAACTCCACCAACAATGCATTAATGTTCCAGTTTTCCCACATTTTCTCTGACATTTATCATTTTCCTGTTTTGTCGTGTTAGCCAATCTAACAGGGGTGATGTGGTACCTCAGAGTTGTCTTGATTTGCATTTCTCTAATCGATAGTGATTTAGAGCATTTTTTCATATGACTATAGATGGCTTTAATTTCTTCCTCTGAAAACTGACTGTTCATATCCTTTGACCATTTATCATTTGGGGAATGACTTGTATTCTTATAAATTTGATTCCGTTCTCTATGTATTTTAGAAATGAGACCTTTATCAGAGACACTGGCTATAAAAATTATTTCCCAGCTTTCTGCTTCCCTTCTAATCTTGGTTGCATTGGCTTTGTGCAAAAACTTTTCAATTTAATGTAATCAGAGTCATCCATTTTGCATTTCTCATAATGTTCTCTATCTCGTTTGGTCATAAATTCTTCCCTTCTCTATAGATCTGATAAGTAAACTATTCCTTGATCTCCTAGTTTGCTTGTAGTATCAATCTTTATATCTAAATCATGCACCCATTTTGACTTTATCTTGGTATAGGGTGTAAAGTGAAGAAATTAAAGCTATCTATAGTTATAGGAAAAAATGCTCTAAATCACTATTGATTAGAGAAATGCAAATCAAAACAACTCTACCACATCACACCTATCAGATTGGCTAACGTGACAAAACAGGAAAATGATTAGTGTTAGAGAAGTAGTTTCTGCTATCCTATTTTCCAGTTTTCCCTCAGTTTTTGTTAACTATTGAGTTCTTATCCCAGAAGCTGAAGTCTTTGAATTCATCAAATAGTTGATTACTATAGGTAATGACTGAAAAAAATTTTTTAAAGACATTGAGGTACTGGCAGGAGGAGAGAGATCCCAGAGATGTAAAACTGAGAAGTGATAGAACTATGCAGGTAGATACAGCTACTAAGAGAAAAAACAGAGCTGTGAGGAATATCTACTTTATAGGGTTGAAAAAACAAAAGAACTATCAGAGGCTGGCAGAGAAACCACTCTGGGATTATTAGCCTTTTTGGGCCATGGGCCCCTTGGGCAGTGAAGCCTGTGAACCCCTTCTCAGAAGAATGTTTTTAAATGTAGAAAATATAAAATACACAGAAATACAAAGGAGACCAATTATATGGGGAAAGTTATCAAAATATTTAAAAATCAGGTTATAAACCCCTGATCTAGGAGAGAAGAAAATTGCCAGTAAAGTACAGTGTTATAGAAGCCCAAGTCATAGTAAGCATCAAAGATAGGCTAGCAAGGATAGTATTAGATTCTTCATACAGTTACTGAGAAGGAGCTTTGGGATTTGAAAGAAGGTTCACCTGCAACCCTGCTAAAAGAATAGAGTCAGCAGAGTGCTACAGAATCCACCTTTCATTAGGTAAAGTATTGGGTGGTAAATGAGATGATGCCATACAAAGATCAGATGATATTTGGCTTCAAAAAGAGAAGAGTAGGGATGAAAGGCAGGACCCATGAGAGCTGTCTCTAGGGCTGTCCTGTAGAAAAGAACTTGGACTTTTTCTGTCTCCTCCCAGAGGGCAAAACTAGGAAATCTCAGAGAGGTGGAAGTGTCAGATTTTGGCTCACATAAAAGAAACTGGCTAACAATTTGGAAGATCCCAGGGAAAAATGGGCTGACTGAGTCACTGGAACTCTTCACACAGAGGCTGGAAGACCACTTGGTAGAGATGCTGTAGAAAGGATTCTTATTCCTGTGAGTTGGAGTAGATTAGAGTTCTAGCCAGACAAGATTCTTGGATTCTGAGAGTAGAGCATTCTTCCAAAAAGTGTGGCAGTGAAGAGAAAAGAAAGAAGGATAACAGGGAGTGAAAGAAAAAAAATAGATGGAATGATAGAGTAAAACCTTGATTAAGTGCAGTGCTTGGGGAATTGCATAGTCTAATGAACTGATATTTTTTCTCTTCAGCTCACCTGATAGATCTTGTTTCATTTCTTTGTAGGTTTTTTTTCTAAAATGCATTGTACTACTTTCCTGACTGTATAAGTATAGAATAGTGTTCAAAATGGAATCTTTGATATACAGAATTTTTAAAATCACTGTTAAAGTCAGTTACTATATAGTGCTATGGATCTAAGGTATTAGCTTTGGGACTTACTGAATACTGACTGTGAGACATACCCTGTAACATTTTTTCTTCTAATCTTTGGTATTTGCTTACTTTACTATTAGCCTCCTTTTTAATTTAAAAAAAAACAGTTCAGGAATAACAATTCTAGTCATTTGAGCATTTAATTGAAGTTTTACTCCAGTTTAGGTGGAGGTGAATATTTCAGCATCTTTTTGTTCCATATTTTTATTGGTGTGTGTATTCTTTCCACCACTGAAGAATGTTACCTATGTAACTTCCTAGGCAGTCTTCGGAAGTGGTAGCCAGAAAGCTCATCCCGCTGTCATCAGCCTGGGGATGACTGACCCTCAAAGCCTGTCCAGCCTGGACTAACATTGCCCTTGATAGGTTTCAAGAGCTCAACATCTGCCCTCCATGGTGAAGCCTTGGAGTAAAACTTGGCAGAGGGGGGTGCTTAATGTTACTTCTGTGCTCTTTACCTCCTTTCCCCAGGGTATCCTGTTAAACTGGGCTGAAAGCTTCACCAGGTGGACGTCGCTGTTTCAGTGCTGTAGGAATGATGACTTGCTCCACAAATTGGTGAGTTTCTCTCCTTGATTTCTTTTTAGATCCCTTTTCCAAGCTGAATCAATCATGGTCACAGAGTGACATTACTTTTAAGTCACTTTTTACATTATAATTTGGTGTCATGGAAGGAGCCCTGGGCTAGGAATGAGGTTCTGAATTTTCAGAGAGTTAACGGACTCTGGTTGGCTGAAAAATGCCATAGAACTAATCTTCCTAATACTGGATATAGCTCTTGCCAGAGGTCCCTCTAGGTCTTGAAGCCTTACTTTCAACATTGGGCAAATCATTTTATTTCTCTAGGCCTGTTGTCTTAATTATGAAATGAGGAGTTTGGATTCTATGATGTCTGAAATCCCTCGGAGCCTTAACTGCCCGTAATTCTAAAGTGCCAAGCCACACATCAGTACCATCTCCCCTTGCACTTTCTTTTCTTTTCCCTCTCCTTCCCTCTCTCCCAACACCCTAAGGCTCCTGGGAAAAGAAAAAGGTGTTTCTCCCTGGTTCATAAATTCTTTTCAAAAATTAATTTCAATCCAGTGCGATTGATAAGACAGAACATATACATTTCCCAAAGAGTTGCTCCATTTGAGACTCTCCTGGTGTTGGTTATTTGTTCGTCTTTCTGGTCACGGTGTATCTCTTAGACCTGGATGCTTCCGGCTCTTTGCACAAAGAGCCTTTGTACATTTCAGCTCTGTATTTCTGTACTAGTGCAGTTTTCAAAGCATGTTTCTAAATGGCCAAGCACAATCAATTTTCTTCAGCTCTGAAAAAGAAGAATCAGCAAGACTTAGAACCGTGAAGCTGATATCTGTGTGAAGAGCCAGTTTTACAGATGAACGCTTTGGTTTTCTACATACTTAGTTGCAGCTTGTTCACGATTTATGACTAATTGAAGATAGTCTTTCGTGATACCTATTGGCAAGTACATGATAAGGTTCATCCTTCGGGCATGTCATACTGGAAGTATTGTAGAAGGCTCTTATTGATTTAACACACAATCTTTATCTATGAGAAAAGTGGAACTCTAGTTACTTTTCATTAGTGCTAAGCTTGCAGTGGGTGATGCGGACCTCTCTTGGCTTCAGGTCAGCTCTAGGATCGCTTCCATTTCGCCCCCGTTCCCGTTCCTCCACCCTTGCCACTATCGGTCACGGTGTTGCGTGATGTGCTTTGTGATGTAGTCCGTACATTCCTGTCCTCCGAGGTCAAGTGCCTTGAACGTAGTTGGTGCTTATTCACTAAGGAGAGGAATTTGCGATGTGTTATTGATGGTTTGGGTTGATCACATGGTCTAAGTCATGAGCACCTCAAAAACTTCTGGCAGATGTCTCATTAGTGAAGATGAGAGAAATTCTTTTTTGTGAAGTCAGATTTCTTGCCTTTATTGTCTGGTAGTGGTGCCGTTTTTGAAATCCCATGGTATTTCCTTTATAGTCTTTCAAGACAGACCCTGCCTTCTTTCCTGGAAGTATCTGGAGTTGTGCCATGAGTTGTAGAATCATTCTTTTGAAAGATGAAATTTTCTAAGCATCATCTCATGCTAGTTTCTCTTTATGTCTAGATCCAAGATTGTGAAAGATCAATTGAGATGACTTGCCATCTGCATAGAGCATAGGACATGAGTTAGAAGGAACCTCAAAGACCACCTAGTCAAACTTCTTCCTATTACAGTGTACCTGACAAGTGGTCATCCGGTCTTGGCCTGAAGACGTGTAGTGTAGATGAGCCCATGCTCTCCCGTGAAAGTCCAGTCTGCTTTTAGATAGCTCTAATTGACCAACTTTAATTGGTCCTCTAATTAGATAGCTTAAATTGAGTAAAAACTTGCTTTTCACCAACGTCCATTCATCACTCCTAGCTCTGCCCTCTGGGAAGCAAATGTCATCCTTCTTCCGTGTGACTGACTGCCATATGAACACTATGTTCCTTGTTCCTTCACCACAGTCTGATATGGCAAAATCTCAAGACCTTTCAGTACTTTGATACCTTCTTCTGGATGCTCTTTGACTTCTCAGTGTCCTTCCTTAAATTGGGCCTTCAGAACTGTCACCTCCATTTTCCTACCAACTATACCTTTCTTAGTGCAGCCTAAAATCCCATTAGCTTCTTGGACTGCCATGAGTCTCTTTATCCCTCTTCGGTGAGAATAAGCATGTTTTTAGCTCAATGATGCTAGCTGGTCTCCCTATGTTCTACCCTCCTTCCACCCTTCTCTAATCCATCCTGTACCAGCTGACAGACCAGGCTAGGTAGACTGTTCCCATTGTCTACTCTTCCAAGGCCAAACTTCTTGAGCTGGCATAATCTGGTCTCAATCCATCCAGTCACACCTTCCAGGATAGCTAACTTAGCCTTCTTTTCCCTTAAACATGTGTCAGGTGAAAGAGGAAATACTCTCAATTCACTCAAATGTTTATGCTCTTCTTCACACTGCTTCTGAAATTTTCAGCTGTTTTTTAGTTGTGTCTAACTCTTTATAACCCTATTTGGAGTTTTCTTGGCAAAGAAAACTGAAGTTGTTTTCCAGGTCCTTCTCCAGCTCACTTTACAAGTGAGGAAACTGAGGCAAACAGGGTTAAGTGACTTGCCCAGGGTCACCCAGCTAGTAAGTGTCTGAGGCCAGATTTGAATTTGGGAAGATGAGTCTTCCTGACTCTAGGCCCAGCTGTCCTGAAATAGTTATCCCTTTTTTCTCTCCTACTTAAATCTTTCCCACACATACACTGTAAATTTTTTTTATTCTTAACTTCAACACCAAATAAAATAGACATTTTTGTAAATAAAACAGAAAAGGAGATTGTACATGAAACTATAGTTTCTATTACTTACGGCTTGCTATATACATATACACACACATATATATATACGTATATAAAAAATAAATTGAACATAAGTTTCAAAACTGGCCTACTTATCTGTGATTCTTTCTGGCCTTTCATCCCTGCATTTTTTAAAAAAGTGCTTCCGTGATCCTTTTTGCCTTTTTTTTTCCCCACTACCCTATCTCTCTATTCTCTTTCTTCCACTTCCTCTTTCCACTGGGGAAAAAAGAAAGAAAGAAAAAGTCACAGTTACAAATATGCAAAGTCAAGCAAAACAGATCGCTACATTGGCCTTGTCAGAGTCTGCCTTATTTTGCTTCTCTTTCAGGAAATTAGTATGCTTTATTGTCCGTATTCTTTTTTTTTTTTTTTTTTTTTTTGGCAAGGCAGTTGGGGTTAAGTGACTTGCCCAGAGTCATACAGCTAGTAAGCATCAAGTATCTGAGGCCAGATTTGAACTCACACCCTGGCTGGTGCTCTATCCACTATGCCGCCAACTGCCCCTTTGTCCATATTTTTGAATCATGGTTTTACAAAACTACCTTCAAGTCTCAGTTCTTTTGTTAAAATTTTCCTGGAAGCTCCATCTAAAATTGATCTCTCCTCTTCTTGACAGTCTATAGCCCTTACTTTCTGTATAATATGTTTTTGTATTTTATTATATTCACTTCTCTTGTCTTTCATTTTTCTTTGAGAGCAGGGACTAAGTAAAAACCTGACAAACGCAGTAGGCACATGTTATTTTTATTTTCAGTTGAATTACAAGAGGATGCATATAGATTTTTTCAGCCATTTTCCAATTATGCCTAGGGTTCTAAGAGCCCAGGAGGGCCGCTGTGATAGTTTCACAAAGCTTCTTATAAATGATTTCATTTTCCAGGTGATTTGGTTCTACTTTGGAGCCTGTAGCTTCCAAAATTTCATTAGAAATGTGTCCAGCGAGATGATATCAGTCAGTCTTCCCTTCTCTATCACACCTGACTACAATTATCTTAATATTCCTTAGGTTCTGCTTTTGTAATATCAGTGTAATGACATTACATTCTTTGTGCATCCACAGTATTTTGTAGATGGTTTTAAACCTGCTTGGCATGCTAGTTACTTAGGTGTAAGCGACCAGTGTAAGATTTGACATGTGGTATTTTGTCCCGCCCCCATTGTTGTAGTTGTCTGACCCTTTGTGACCCCATGTGGGGCTTTCTTGGCAAAGATACTAGAGTGGTTTGCTACTTCCTTCTCCAGCTGTACAGATGAGGAAACTGAGGCAAAGAGGGTCACACAGCTAGTAAGTGTCTGAGACCAGATGTCAACTCATGAAGGTGAGTCTTTCAGACTCCAAACCTGCTCTGACCACTGTGCCACCTAGTGCTTCAGTTTGAATTGAAAGCCCCCAGACCATTACAAACGTACCTAAGCAAGCTAGGGGATTAGGGAGAAAAAAGGGAGAATTTATCTCAGTAGATGTGTCAAGAAGGAGTTTAGAAATATGATAAATTAATAATTTGATTAGTTAACACTTTTTATTCTGAGAGAGTTTTTACCAGGTTTATTCAAACAGAGCCTGCACCTTGTATGTCAGCCTTACTGAGACAGGCTCCCTCCCTAACCAGTCAAATTCCCCCCTGATTGTTCATGGGAACGCAGGAGGGCAAGAGTGATAGCATTTGCTAGTTTTGTTTAATAATGTATTTGGCTTTGTAGTGCTTATATTTGAAACTAGGCTTACCTCTTCTGGGAATTCAGACCTCTTCAAACCAAGGAATGAAGCCAGTTATAAAGTCCTAATTCATAATTTAACTGGCAACCTACCCAGTTCCAACGTCCTGCCCCACCCAGTGCTTAGCTCTTCGCTGCTGGAGAGAGATGGTATCATCTTCAGACATGAGCCACCCCAGATGCCTGCTTATGTCTCTCCACGTTGAGATAATTTTGTTTTATTTACGTGTTTTTCTTAATGTCTGAATCTAGTTGAGAGAGGATGGGTCGGGGCAGTGTGCTGAAGGAGTCAGCATGAGATAAAGAAGTCAGATAGGGCTAAGTTTTCCACAAGTCCACAAAATGAGAAATTCCATTCTGGGAAACTGAAAAGGAAGATGAGTAACTTTACCTTGAAGTCTCCCTGCTTTCAACAGTATGGGTACTCTGTTCACCAGTACAGATGGCAGCCCCTTCACTTTTCACAAGTCATTTTGACTGAAGTACTTCTATTTATTGGCCTCTTCCTGGGGCTGAGTCCCTCTGGACTTAACCAGGCTGTTCCTCCCCGGACAGACACGCTGTCAAACTCCGCACTACCATCGAGGCCTTTCCAACAGGGTGGGCTTTCAAGCCTTTGGAAACCCATTGTTAGCCCAGGCCATCGGGAGACATGTTGGCGTTCCTTTATGTGCCAAACATACCCAGTTGTAAAAATGTTCTTTCATTATAGAAGGATGACAAGGATGCCTTACCACAGAGCTGACAGCAGTGCTTCTAAGTTTGCATTAAGGCAGGATAGTATAGCAAAAAGACTGTTGTTGCATTTGTAGCAAAGAGACCTGAATTTGAGTTAACTGTGACCACAAGCAGTGACTTAATCTTTCTGTAGCTTCAGTGTCCCTATCTGTAAAGTAGGTAGAGATGCTTGTACCACCTGCCTCAGAGGTCTGTGGTGAGGAAAGCATTTTACCCTCTTTAAATTGACACCTAAATATTACCTGTTTTCCCTTTGTTAAGGGTTCAACCTGTAACCCTTGGAGCAGGGTTTTTTCTTGGTGAAAAACTAAATAGTCTATATATGGAAGCAAACCATAACCTGGATTTGCTGAAAAATTAACTTTGTTATAACTTCAGTCTCTAAGGGCTTTTTTTTTCCTTCATTAAAAATTTTGAATTTTGGTCATACCCTTAACCATAATCAAAGTCAAACTTGAAGATTCATTTCAGCATTAAATTATAGAATTATACAATTATAGAACAAGGACAGGCACTGTAGGTCTTCCTGGTGCATTCTTAGGATGGTACAGTCAAAAGATCACTAGATTTACCTGTGTTCAGCTCTTGGCAAATCATTTAATTGTAGTTTTTCTGTATCACATTACAGAAACATCCTTGACTGAATTTGGTTAAACAGACTTATTCACCTGTGGTTATAGCTGTCAAAGTCTTTTTGAAACAATAATACTTCATGCCAGTTAGCAATATTTTTAGGTTCATCAAGTATCCTGCCAAGTCAGTCTTCCTTGGCTCGTGTTCATAATCAAGTTCGTTTGGTGGTGGTTGTTTTTTTTCAATCACGAAAATGTATTGAAGATATGGTAAACTATGAGGTTTTTTTTTTAATGTTGAATCTTTGGGGAAAATAAGCACTGCCCCCAAATAATTGGGGAAACCTAACACTCAGTTTGAAAATTGCATGTATAAGTGTTAATATCCATCTTCCATTCTCTCTGTCACAAGGATGTGGGATTCCGACTTGACTCCATCCATACCATCCTGCAACAGGAAGTGCTGCTACAAGAGGATGTGGAACTGATTGAGCTCCTCGACCCCAGTATCCTGTCGACAGGGCAGCCTCAGCAACAGGAAGATGGACACCTTCCAACTCTTCGCTCCCTAGCAACTCCTAATATTTGGTACTGTCAAGAAAACACCTATCCTATGCCTGGTTACCTATATGGTACTATCAGAGGAAGCTGTTAGCATATGCTTCTGTGTAAGAGGCATTAAACAAATTAGCTCATTTGCAATAATTTAATTTTTGAGATAACCCACAAAAGTGCCTTTCTAAAGTGAGTAATAAATATATATGTTGAACTGAAGATGATTTCTAAGAAATTGTCTTGATTACATTGCACTCATTGTCCCATGTATTGGTAAGACAGATTTAAGTAGGAGCCATTGAAAGTAAAATGACATACCCATTCACCTGCCTCAGTGTTCCAGTTTTATCTCGCTTTCTCGTATAATCATGGGGGCTTCATAAAGATGCCGATGGCAAATTACATGATTTGTTCATACTGATTAGTCATTCTAACATCATCACCAGTAAGTATCATCTCTCTGCCTTCAGGGAACTACTCAACGGAAACTCAGACTTAAAAAATGTTCTCCAAATTCTCTTTAATCAGCATAGGATTAGGGAACTCTGGCTTTTACAATTTAAACCTGATGATGTAAATGTTACTGGTTTGTTTGGTGACATTTTAGGATCATCATAAAAGTGGCCAATTGTTGGAAGTATTGAGGTTATGGTTAGAGAGGGAGAAATAGGGTATATGTTTATTTGGAATGGTTTTAAGTGTGACTGGACAGTAAAATTCACTCTCAATTATCTTTGAGGTCATTTTTCTTTAGATGTTTTCTGGTGTACTTTCAATCCTGGCTTTCTTTGTCTTAATCTGGGATTAGTGAAAAGAATGATATGTCTGATACACAGAGCTCTACTTTGATTGTTACAAAATGGAAATGAAAAACTAATGCTGGAATATAAAGTGGGTAAGGATGACTCCAAAAAAGAAAATTTGAATACTTATAGTAATTGTTTAAAACCAAATTACTTAGTTGAAGAAAATCATTTCTAACCAGAAAAATGCTATCTAAAGCAAATCTGTTCTGAGTAAATGCATTTATAGGAAAATAATTTAATCTACCTTTTGAAGAAGGAAGTTAGCCTCCCTGACACCCAGCATTTTCATTTTTAAAATTATGAAATTAGCCTGTAAGGCTAATGCTATATTTTTCAAGGTTAATCTAGATCTTTTAAAAAAAAATCAGTTAACTCAAGAAGTATGTTTCTACTGGCCTTTTGCTAACCTTGAAAATGCAGGTGTTTTGGTACCCAACTACCCTTGTTTTGATTCTAAATATTTCACTTTTTTGACCAAGATGCTATCTCATATTTGTTATTTAAAAGAGAAGTCAAGTATCATTCTTTTGTAATTAGTAACTTGTACTGTTATTTTCATCCATTTCAATGGCACCATTAATGTTCACTTTTTGTTCCTTTTTTCCTTAATAAACGTCCCTTTCTCTGTGCCTGTTCCTAGGGATGTCTCAATGCTGCTAGGCTACATTAGTTTCTTCATTATGATTCCTGCTTGGTGGAATATATCTTCCTGGCCACTGTGGGGACTAATTCTCATTGTTTACTTGGTTATAAGAGCTTCAGGCTGGTGGAGGACAGCCAGTTTACAAATGACTCTAAGAAAATACAATGTCCAGCTAGAAGACACAGTAGCGAATAGCCGCGCTTTTACCAACCTTGTGAGAAAGTCTTTACGCCTCATTCAAGAGACTGAAGTTATTTCCAGAGGATTTACCCTGTGAGTCCATTTTTCATTTCCTTTTATTAATGATTCTTCTGGATCATGTAGAGATAAATATGGATATTTGTCACACAATCTGAAAAGTGTATTCATTTCCATGTTCCATTACAGTGACAGTAAAAAGGTATAATTTACAAGAAAATAAGGGATGTTTTTATCAGTTACTGAATTAACTCCATAAATTTCACAGTGAAGGAACCTACTCTTGGACATCAAAAACACTAACAAAATGTGCTAAATGTGAATTTAATTATATTTTCAGTTAATAATTTGTATCTGTGTGCATAGTATTTCATTTGAGGATCTAGAATGTTCTATGAACATTACCTGATTGGATTTTGGGGAATAAGATCATTACTGTGATTACTGCTTTATAAAAGGAAAAACACAGCATTTTAGCGTTGAAAGAGACCTAAGCAGCTAGCCCCACACCCACACTTCGTAGAGCGGGCGCCTCCTGTGCTGTGCCAGGCCAGTGGCCATGCAGCCCATCCCAGATGTGCAGGGAGGCGGAGCACAGGGTGGCCTCTTTGCTGTTTCCTCCCATCACTGCTACTTCTGTCCCTCTGGGCCCAGCAGAACCAGAACCAGTGTGCCCTCTCTTCTCTGTGGTGGCCTTTTAGGTCTTTGAGCCTGTGATGATGTCCTTCTGGAGTCTTGAATTCTCCAGCCTGAGCGTCTCCATCGTCTTCAGCTGATCGTCCTATGGCATAGAATTGAGACCCTCACCACAATGTTTGCCTCCTCTGGACATGCTCCAGCTTAGCAGGAGCTTTCCTAGATTCTGGAGCCAGCAGGGACCACAGCAGGACTGTTGCCCCAAGAAGCTATGTGTCCCTTAATGCAGCCCAAGGTGGCAGTTTTTTTGGCTGCTGTATCATATTGTTGCTTTATGTTGAACTTGCAGCCCTTTAAAAACCACAGATCTCTTTCAGGTAGACAGTTATCTAGTCATGCCCTGCACCCCGTGGTGCAGATCCTCCTCCCCTCACGCCTGCACTGTTGCAGTAGCCTGCCACAAGTCTGTGCCCACTGCAGTCCATCTTCCTCTCCTCAGCCAAAGTGATCTTCCCAAAGCGCAGTCTGACCGTGTCATCTTCCTGGCTCCCTGTCACCTCCAGGGTCAAATATAAAATCGCTGTTTGGTTTTCAACTTGCTCCCCTCCAAATACTGTGTGATCCAGTGACGCTCACCTGGCTGCTTCTCACATGTGCCGCTCTACCTCCTGACTCTGGGTATTTTCCCTGCCTGTCCTCCCCGTCCTCCTCATTTCTGCCTCCTGGCTTCCCCGGTGTCCTGAAATCCCACCTTCTACAAGAAACCTTTCCCGATGCTCCTTAATCTTAGTGCCTTCCCTCTGAAGCTACCCCTAACTTGTCCTGTCTAGACCTTATTTGTGCAGAACTATTTGCATGTTGTATCCCTCACAGACTGTGAGCTCCTTGAAAGCAGAGGCTGTCTTTGGCCTTTCTCTGTAGCCCCAGGGCTTAGCACAGCACTTGGCCCACAGTAGGTGCCTAATAAGTGTTAGTTTAACTCACTGACTTTTATGAACCCAAGTGAAGAATTTTGCAGGTATCCCTGTTAAATTTCACCCTATTAGATTCAGCCCAGTATTCCAGCTTATTAAGATCTCTTTGGACCCTGACAGTGACAGCCATTGTGTTAGGTATCCCTCCCAACTTTCAGCCATCTCCAGATTTTATAAGCATGCCTCCATCCTTTATACAAGTTATTCATTAAAAAATTCAGGTAGTGCAGAGTAACATGCCCATTCTTGGGGCACTCTCCTGGAGTTTGGCCATTCAGCCTGGTCTGGTGGTGCTCTCTCTCCACTTTTTCCTTAAGAACACAAGGATATACTTCATCTAGTACTTTGCTGAAATCCAGGTAAAGCATATCTCTAGCATCTAGTGACTTAGTAACACATTTCCAGAGCAGAAAGGTAAGGTGGGTCTAATCTGCCCTGTTCTTGATAAAGCCATGAAGTTCTTTGTAATTTTCGCCTCCCTTTTCTACATATTTACCAGCTGTTTCTTTATTAATCTCTTCTGGAGTTTTACTTTTTTCCCCCTGAGAATCTAAGTTATGCCCTCTGACCCGTAGTTTTCAGACCTTAGTATCTTTTTGTTTTTGAAAATCAGAATAATCTTTGTTCATCTCTGGTCCTAAGATACCTTTTCCCTAGCTCTAGGAAACTCAGACAGTGTGATTCACTGTCTTGGTCATGTACCTTCTGTTCCTCGTGAAGGACATGTTAGAAATCATCTTTTCCAAGTATTGATAGATGCTGTATAGCCAGCATCCTCTGCTACCCCCTCTGTGCACTAAATAATACTTGCTTGTTGAAGGTCACCATGTTTATGACTAGCTAAATATTTACTGCCCTGTTACAAGCAACAGAGGCTGCAGGCTGCTTATTCACCAGGCTGTATGCTAAAATATGCTTAATGAACGATGTCAGTGTTATAGTGTAGATAAGGAAGAAGAGTATGAGCACTTACATGGCACCTGGTACGTACCAGACACAATATTATCTCGTTGGATTATATCACGTAGATAAAGGAAGAGTACTAAGTGAATGTAGCAGTTGTTGCTGTTTTAAACTTGGTGTATAAAATCATAGAAGAACATAAAGAGAAGGAATCTCCAGATGTCGTTCGACAAATATGTTGGCAGAGTGCCTCTTCTGCGCTCCTTCCAGACAAGGCTCAGCTGAGGGAGGCAGTTTCTCTGCTATTATTGGTGTCTTGGGAAGAAAATGCTGTCACTTTCCTTACACCCCAGTTCAGAATCTAGCAGATTCCAGGTCAGTGAAGCTTTGTCTTTTCAAACGACCATCTTTAACAATTTAATAATTCCATTTCATGTTCTCCTGTTCTTGGAGATCACGCCAAAAATATGTATGTATGGCTTTACCTTTATTCCAAATGTGGACATTAGCTTATTGGTGTGAATACATAAAATGGCTTACTAGTCTGGAGCTTTTGAAAAAATGCAAACAAGCTTGGGGGCTCAAGTCACCGTTTGTGACTGACCTTCATAGGATCGTGGAGGAGACTCACCGGGACATCAGAGGCCCCTGAGGCCAGCCCTTTCACGTGACAGCAGGGGAGACTGAGGCCCACAAGGCGAAGTATCACACGGAGAGTGAATGTCAGAGGGGAGATTTTCAACCAGATCCTCTGACCCCCTGCTTTTGGCCATCCTGCAGGCAAGCCAGTCTTTGGAAGAGGAGGGACACCCTGACAGCTGCATGGTTTGCCCACTGAGTCTTTCCACCACTTTTTCTGCCAGTTCAAACAGTAGACCGGCGGAAGAGCAAATATGGGGAAATTTGTATTTCAGTGTAAAAGCTTCTGATTCAAATTAATCTTTAATCAATGACTGTAGGAAGAAACTAGTCTAAGAGGAACGCCAAGTACCATAAATTTTCTGAAGAATCTTTGGAAACTGAGTTTTCTGAAATAACTCTGATAAACTCTTTTTAAAAATGACAGCCCTGTTTTCAACATCTCTGGTTTCATGGTGGACTCTAGGATTTGCTGTGGACAAGTTTTGAATTTGATTTTAAATATTTTTACATTATTGGTAATACCCTAGGCTAATTAAAATAGGCTAAAGAGCTATAAGTTTTTGATTCAAACCTAATAGATCACCTGAAAAGGAAAGATTTAAGTATATCCAACTAGTGAAGTATATGCCATTGTTACAAATAGGTAGGGTCTGTTATGGTGTTGAACTGTTAAATTCCATGGGGTTTTGGGCATTTTTTCCCCTGAGCAGTGGGGGGGAATATTGGAGATACTGTGGGGTTCTTAACATGTCTTTACAATGCATTCCTCATTGCATCCTGGTTCTTTTGTTATCCTGCCTCCTTGTATCATTTTGAGAAGGCCAGTGCCACTCAAAACATGTTGGCATATATTTTAACTTTACCTTCAAAACCAGCATTTATCCAGCCACTTGGCATTCCCTTTTTTTTTTATGTTTCTATAGTGTATTTTACTCTGCAGAGGACCAAAATTATAAATTAATATAAATGTGGAGAGAGGTAAAAATGTGCTAAGGATGATTAAGGCTTCCACAATGTCGCATCTGTTTCCTTTTAGAACTGTTAGCTTTAACAGACACTACCAGTGACTTCTGTAGTCCATTTGTTTGCATTTCTGAATCTTTCTAAAACACTTGAGTTACCAAAGTCCTGAAGTAGCACAGAAATTATTCTCAATATGGATAAATTTGGAAACATTGCAGACAATAGATCAGGGGTGAGGAACCTGCAATAGATACTTGCAGACGTGCCTACATCTTGGAGGTGGTGAGATTGCATGTGGAAAAAGATGCTTGTAAATGTGCCTTAATAATGTCTACAGCATACTTGCCAGAATACCTTTATTATGGTAATGAAGGAAAATGAACAAATGCGAGGGGTTTAATTATCTGTCATTTTTCTTTTATAGACATATATGCTGATGAAATGGATTTTTAGCAGTTTTTTTTCCCCACCCCATTGGGATGGGGAGGAATTTTTAATTATGTTTCAAATGAAGAGATAACTGAAGAGAACTTAAAAAAAATAAATTTGTTGTAGATTTAGAACAAAAACTTTAGGACATCTGTACAGTTGTATCACATTTTACTTTTCAAGTTTGCTTGACAGGGTCAGTGCTGCTTGCCCATTCAACAAAGCTGGACAGCATCCTAGTCAGCATCTCATCGGCCTTCGGAAAGCTGTCTACCGAACTGTTAGAGCCAACTTCCGAGCAGCAAGGCTAGCCACCCTCTATATGCTGAAAAAATATCCTTTTCCAACTGTAATCACATTAATAGACATCAGTATATGTTTAGTTGTTCTTGATATAGAAATGTGTCCTCTAGAATATGGCTTAAGTGAGAGAGAGAAAGAGTGTGTATGTGTATATGTGTGTGTGTGTGTGTGTGTGTGTGTGTGTGTGTATAAACACACATATATACATATACACATATATACACACATAAATAATATACATATGTACAACATACACACATATATGACATATATTTATATATTGAAACTTATTTTCCTATTGATTATTATAAAATTAAAGATTAATTCTATGGTGAGCTGGCAAGAGAAGCAAGGTCTAGAAATAGGATCTACCTTCTTTCTGCCTTCAAAACCTAATTCAGTTTTAGAAGGAAGAAAATATTCCCTCTCTCAATGCTTGTACTAACTGGAACTAGAACAGAAGGCTCTTAGTACTGCTGGGTTTGCATTCTTGGCAAACTTAACAGAACTACGTATCTTGGTGATTGAGAAGGTGACACTAAGAAGTCAGCTTCTCTTTCACAATCTATGTAGTAGTAAAATGCTGTATCTCATGATTGTAAAATCAGTAAATCATGGAATAAACCACATTACCAGAAAATAAAAAATTATGAAATCTTGTATGGTTATAAAAATAGGCAAAAGTCTTTTATCTGAATCATTACTTTTATCATGGTCAGTTTCTATAAACTGAGTTGGTCTATGACATGTATAACTTTGCAGAGTTAGAATTTTATCTGGTAAATGTCAAAGGGAATTTTTTTTAATGGCACTGTGCATGCATGCTTGAGGTAAAATGTAGAGTCAAACCTTGATTGGAATGTGTGGAGTGTTTATCTTCTTTCAAGAGTATCTTCAATGCAGCAAACTCTCCTGGATACTGTATTAGCCAGTGTAGGAGAGACAAAATTTCAGTAGGAAACATGCTTCTTTAATGAAGCTTACAGTGTAGTAGTAAACACAGTTGACTGCTTCTTTGATACTTAAAGATCTTGCAGTGCTTTTAGGGTCATCATCACCATGAAGATACTTTTAACTGCTGTAGCTGTCAGTAATACGGGTTGGTCTGAATGTGCCCTGACTACTGCATGAGTGGTGCAAGTTTTTGTTTTCTTTGAGCTTATTTTCAGCTCATTTTCTTGAAATCTGTCTCTGTGCTAAAAATGGTATGTAGTTAAATATTTGGAACCCATTTAACCAGAACCTGTTGATCAAGCTTGTACTCCATGTTGGAGTGCATATCCAGAAGGAAGATATACCATGTGGATTGTTTTATCCCTTTTGGGTTTTTTCTTCAGGGTACTTTGGGATTATTAATATATTCCTGTTGGCATATTGCTAACCCAAGTTAACTTTTTTGTTTTTTAAAACCAGAGTTGGACTTAGCTTCACTACTGCATAGGTAACCCTACTGCTAGGTTTTTCTTAGTACCCTTGCATATGATATATTCTTGTAATCCCAGTTCTAAATAGATACTTGCTATTACTGGTATTTTGGTGTATATCTACTTGACTGATTATAATAAGTCAAAAAATGACAACAGTATGTAATGGGAGATAATTTGTTTAAACAGACACAGTATATGTTTTTCAAAGCATTATAACAATAAGATTTTTTCTTAATTCCTCCATTTCTTATTTGAAAGGCTTATTATCAAGGCTTAATACGTTGATGATGGTAAAGAGAGTTGATGAGTCTTGACTATTAAAAGTAACTCAGTAATAAGTCTTCTCCTTACATAGTTGTGGCTTTTTTCCCCCTACCTTTTTAGCATCTTAGCTGCTGTAAACCAAGGGAAGAGTGGAGAGAAGGAAGGTGCTTTGTGTGACTCCCAGGACACCATTGAATTCAAAGGACAAGGCGGATGAGAGAAGGGATAAAGGGTGCCCACATTGGGATTAGTTCCTTATAAGCAAAAGGGAAGAATGAGGACCTTTATAGTATTGAGCATAAGGGTGTTTTCTGAATATTAAAATGTGGCATTGGACACGAGGAGTAAGTTAAGGGGAAGGTGATGCATAGGATCATAGATTTGGAGCTGGGGGGGACTTAAGAAGTCATCTAGTCCAGCTCCTCATTTTACAGAGGAGGAAACTGAGGCCCAGGGAGATTGTGACTTCCTGAAGGTCATATATGTAGTAGAATTGAGACTTGAGCTCATATCCTGTGACTTCAAATTCACTGCTCTTTCTACTGCACCACAGGGCCTTCAGTGAGCACAGAAGAAAGATCATAAACTTAAAAGCAGAAATTCAGTATGGAAAGTGACTGTACATTTCTGTTGTAGGCTTCTATAATGTCACAGTCTCACACTCCTCTCTGACGCATGCCTTCTTTCATCATCCTCAGCCATCAGGGAAAAACCCCACAGAACTGTAGGTGTAGCACGAGGCATGATTTTCAGATGTGGTCCACGGGAGGATTTGCTTCTACTGGTTGTCCCTCTCTGGCCTTTTGTAGAGGGAATCATTGGGAAGTGAGTGATATAAAAAGGGAAAAGCATCAACAGAACATAGACAGGAAAGAAAGAAAACCACAACACAGAAGTAAAGGCCTTTTGATCATAAGCAGTAGCTGTTTTCTTTGAGAACATCTGAACATGTGATCACTTGGTTTAGCCAGTAAAAGAAGAGCTGTGCCCCAGCTGTTTGGCAGTGACTTGACTATGAGAATCCAAGTGACAAGGAAAAAGAGCAGATGATGGAAGCAGCCATTACCAAGTGAATCATTAATTGGGGCAACAACAAGCAGGCCCCATAACAGAGAACAAATAGGGAAAGGAGAGAAAATACGAGCCCAGCTTGTGCAGTAGTTTGAGTGATTCAGGGCAAACGCAAGCAAAACCTACCTCCCGTTGTTTCAGATGGTACGATATTAGATATGGCAAACCCTCCAATAAAGTAGATCCGTCAGGAGTAAAGAGAAGGAGGTTCCAAAAGACTGTACCATGACAAGATAGGCCATAATGGATCCGAGTCCGTAGACCTAAGGCAGCATACAGCAGCATTTTACAGTAGACCCAGAGTATCCCTAGGCAGATGTTCTAGAAGTCATCCAGCCTTCCATTAACGAAAGAGAAAGTGTAGGAAAGTTGTGCAAGAAAGTAAAAATGAAAATCGGTTCACACCTTGAAAATAAGAAGAGCCATTTTGATGTGTTAGTAATACTTAGACGTGATTTGTAATAGGAATTCACCACAGAGCAGCAGGTTGGACCAGATGATGTAAGGTACCTCCTAACACTAGGAGTCTGGGATTTTGTGGTTCTCATATGTTAAGACATTGTAAGGACACCCACAATCATAATCCTTGCAGATTGAATCACATTATGTTGTGCATCCACACTTCCCCATCCCCATGCAAACAGTCTAGCCTGGACCATGGGTGTTTCTCCATGAAGGGAATGGAGAATGCTCCAATTTCTGGCATAGTTGCAAAGATTTTTGTAACTAAATATGGTTGGCTGAATCCAGTGTATTTTCTGAACAGTAGCTTTGGTGTTTGGAAGTAAGATATAGTATGGAAGGCTGGATATAACTAGTTAAAAAAAAGAGAGAGTTGACAAATTCTGATGCTACTGAGAAGTTTTGTGGCTACAGAAAATTTATTGTCAGATGACTACTAAGCAGTTTTACACAGCTGCTAAAACTGTATTTGCTAAATTTAGCAGGGCTTGCATAATTCCCATCACAGATGATAAATCAAGAGGCCCAGGTGTCAGGGCATTTGATTTTTATTCTTGCCTGTACTATGAAACAGAACCGTGAGCAGTAATGCATCAGTGTGCCCATCTTTCCACATGCCTCCAGCACTGACTCTTCACTTCTTCAGCTGTCTTCACCAATTTTGCTTGATTGTCTTTATTGGCATTTCTTTCATTAGTTATTTGGAGCATTTTTCCATATGGTTGTTAATATTTTGCAATTCTTTTGAAGATTCTTTGTTAACATCCATTGACCACTTATCTATTTTTTAAAATATTTTTTAATACTATCTGTTGAGGGGGCAGCTAGGTGGCGTAGTAAATAGAACTCTGGCCTTGGAGTCAGGAAGACCTGAGTTCAAATCCAGCCTCAGACACTTGATACTTACTAGCTGTGTGACCCTGGGCAAGTCACTTAACCCCTATTGCCTCACCAAAAAAGAAAAAAAAACTTACCTGTTGAAAAATGGCCTTTGATCTTACAGATTTTTATTACTTTCTTGTATATCTTGAATATCAGACCTTTACCAGAGGTGTTGGCACAGCAATTTTTACCCTAGTTAACTGTTTCCCTTTTTATCTTTGTTGCATTAATTTTATTCATGGAAAAGCTTTTCAGTCTCATGTAATCTGAAGTCTTTCATCTTTTGTGATGACCTCTATCCATTGGTTAAGAATTCACCCCAAACCATAGCTGTGAAAGGCACCTGATCTAGTTGTCTTCTGATTTTTTTGTGATATGACCTTTAATGTTCAGCACATATCCATTTTGAATTCATTGTGGTATATAACGATGGCTAATAGCTACCATTAAATAGCACTTACTATGGGCCAGGCACAGTGCTAAGCACTTTACAAATATGATGACATTTGATCCTTACAATAATCATTGGAGATAGGTGCTATTATATTATATCCCTATTTTACAGATGAGGAAACTGAGGCCATCAGAGATGAAATGACTTGCCCAGATTACAGCTCGTAAGTGTCCAAGGCCAGATTGGAACTCAGGTGTTCCTGACTCCAGGTCCACCACTGGTCTGCCCCTGATTCCCGCTAGACTACTTTCCAGTCTTCCCAGAGATTCTTACAAATTAGTGAGTTCTTTCCTATGTAATATTTTCAGGTTTATTGTGAACTTATCACTGACTTTAGTTATTTCCGATTCTTCCTTATATAATCTGTCCTGCTGATCAGTATTTTCTAGCCAGCACCAAGCAGTTTGACACTTTTGGCAATGAGTCAGAGGTCTTCAAGTGCTAACGTTTCTCCCTCATTCCTACTTTTTTTTTCATCATTTCCCTTGATATTATTCTAGATCTTTTGTTCCTTCCAATAAAATTTGTGGAAGGAAAGGCTCACTAACTCACTATTGATGGAATTATGACTTCATCAAACCATTCTGGAAAGGACTTTAGAATTGTGGTCAGAAAGTCACTGTTTAATTTGACCCAGAAATCCCCCTGCTAGACTTAGACTTCCAGGAGGTCAGTGACAGAAGAAAAGAAGCCACATCCAACAGAATGTTTCTGCCAGCACGTTTGACTGGGGAATGACCAAACAAGTTGTGGTACGCAAATGAAATGGAATATTTCCTTACTGTAAGAAATGATGGATCCTGAAAAGCATGGAAAGACTTCCGTGAATGGATACATAAGCAGCATCCAGAAAACAGGGTCACGGTGACATTTCAAATGGAAAAAAACAACTGCAAAATAATTCATCTGGAATGCTTTGAAATTACAATGACTAGCTTAGCACCAAGGAAGAGATGTGCTTAAGAAGACATCACTCTCCCTTCTTAGCAGAGGAGGGGTACTTGTGGGTGGGGAACTCTCCAGATAACCTTATACTTTTTTGGCATATTGTTTAGTTTTGCTGAACTATTTTTTTCCTTTCTTTTTTCTCCCTTTCCGTTGTTAGAAGAAATGGCCCTTTGTCTGGGAGAGTAAAGGATACATTAGCAAAGGTAGCTTATAGAGAAACTAATATAATCAATAAACTTTATAATAAGATAAAAGAGAACCACAGGGATTAGAAAATTTAATCACTTTAGAACTTTCAAAAATATTGCACAGTTGACTCTCACATAGTACAAGCTCTTGATACAAACTCAATGTTCCATCGATCGGATATTGTGTCAATGAACAAATCCATTTTTTCTGACTGCTTTTATCACTTTTTCTCTCTCTCTTTTTTTTTTTTTTGGGTGAGGCAGTTGGGGTTAAGTGACTTGCCCAGGGTCACACAGCTAGTAACGGTTATGTATCTGAGACCAGATTTGAACTCAAGACCTCCTGACTCTATCTAGGGCCAGTGCTCTATCTACTGCACCACCTAGCTGGCCCACTTTTATCACTTTTTGTACCTTTCAGTAAAAAGTCATTTTAGAGCCACAGGCTAGATGATGGTAAAGCGCTTCTATTGATGTACAGTTACAGGGAAGGAAGGCATGCTTTGATGGTTTTATAATCTTTCTCCCAGACAGTGCTGCCTTGTTGATGCAGCCCTTGGACCGTGGTATTAGCCAAAATATGAAATGTTATTACAGCAGAAGTTCCATCATTCGATTGACCCAACATTCAGGTACTATGTACAAATGTGACCATAACATTAAATATTTAAATGTTTAATGTTACTGGGACCTTGGAATTCTGTTAAACCAAACATCAAAGGCTTGGAAAACATTAGGAAATTGATGGTGTTTGCCAAAGTGTGTTCTGGTGATGCCAAGGCATAAAGAAAGTATAGACATCGGGAGTATTGATTGGATCTGGATCTGTAATTTCATTGGTGCTGAGAAGTGCTAATGAAATCTCTGTTCAGTCCAGTTTGGACAGGTCAGAGGCTAGGCTTCATCCCCAGATTTCTCAGCCCCAAGGCTCACTGTATCACACAGTACGAGCTCTTGATACGCGGTATTACTGCTCAGTATGAACACTGGGATGAGGTCACACAGGCTCATATTTTTGAAATGAAGAGGGTCCTTCACACTCCCTCACAAGATTAACTGGTCAGGTGGTCAGAAGCTGGCCAGGTTCCTGTGGGACTCTGTTAGCAATGCCTTAATAAAATATCATTTTAATACTGCTGCTGAGTTAGGAGATATTGTTGACAGAGAAGAGGAGAAGGGTTTTCCTGAAGGTTGAGTAACCTCTTTAGGAAAGGATAAAAAAGGAGCTTCAGCATTAATTCAGGATTTTCTCCTGACTGCCCTGTCAATCATACAGCTGCATCTCCTTCAGTTGCTTTAGTTGGAGATGCAGATGACCCCAAATCATACTGTCATCATAGACTCTTCAAGAAAGCCAGTGTCAGGGTATCTCCTTGGATCTATCCCACCGGCTCAATGTCTCTTCTCATGTTTACTGTGTGTCACATGTTACATTTCATACATCTTAGAAGGATTTCCCCTGAAAGGGACCAAAGGAGAGGGTTCAGTGCTTACCCAGCTAGATGTGTGAATTATCTGGCCTTTCTAGTTATTCGTTAGACTACAAGTAACTACTAGTATTATAGACTAGTAGCTATTCAAATTAGATTGAAATGAAGTCTGCCATTCTAAAAAGTGTAAAAATGCCGGTTGCCGAAGGTGATTTGGGATAAGACGTTTGATGGCCTCTTCTCCTCTCTTGGCACAAAGACTCAGTTGCTGTTTGCCTTAACTCTCGCTTAACCTACCCTCTGAATTCGGAGAGTGACAACGTGACCAACTATATCTGTGTGGTACCTTTTAAGGAGCTGGGCCTGGGACTGAGTGAAGAGCAGGTGTCCGAGGAAGAGGCACATAACCTGACAGATGGCTTCAGCCTGCCCGCACTGAAGGTAACTTGTCTTTTGTGGAGAAGATGCTTGCTGGGCAGGTGGATCCATGCACATAGGCTGCCATTGGGTCCATCAGACAAAAAGGTCTCACGTGCTGTCCTTTAAATGCCACCACTGTAACAAAACAAACACAGAAGAAAGAGCAGCAGCAGTGGATTTAGAAAACTTTTTGATGTCCAGAAAATGTTTTAGAAGCTCAGTATTCTTGTTATGTACATTTAAAGTTCCATTTTCTTTTCAAACTTTGAAAAAAAATTCTAAATCCCACTCTCCCTTCCCCCTGTTGTTTTTTATTTTTTGATATTTTTTGCTTTTTAAAATTTAATATTGCTGAAGTTTTATGGTGACTTAGCTTCTATATATCAGCGAACCATGAGATCTTAGAAAGACCTCTTAATTTGAGGGGGGTGCTTAGAAACAGATGTTACTATATTTATCCACATAGTTTCCTCTATCATATATTTTTAGCCTTTCCCAGTTAAGGATAAACCATAATAAACACCATAGACTCTCTAAAGTTGAAAGAGACCTTAAAAGTCATTTAATCCAAGCTCCTAATGCTAAAAGGTCATTTGCATAGTTCCTAGTAGTAGGGATTTGAAAGGTCTTGGGGGGTCACACCTAGAGGGTCTGTGACATGTATTTCATAGTTAGTGGTTCTAGAGCTGAAAGGAACCCCAGGGTCCCTTTAGTTCAACCTCTTCATTTTACAGTTGAGGAAACTGAGGCACAGAGAGGTTCAGTGACTTGACCAAGAGCATATGAGTGGAGGATTCAAACCTAGCCCCTCTTGCTCTAAGATATCTGATTGTTTCCACCTTTCCACCACATTTTTGTTGTTATTGTTCAGTAGTTTCAATCATGTCCAACTCTTCATGACCCCATTTGGGCTTTTCTTGGCAAAGATACTGAAGTGGTTTGCCATTTCCTTCTCCAGCTCATTTTATAGATGCAGAAACTGAGGCAAACAGGGTGAAGTGTCTTGCCCAGGGTCACACAGCTAGTACATATTTGAGGCCAGATTTGAACTCAGGAATATGAACCTTCCTGACTCCAGGTCTACTATCCCCACTGTGTTACCTAGCTGTCCTTTCCACCACACAACCTGCCATTAATGTGTGAGTTTCTGTGTCTGCTCTGTTCCACTATCTTGTTTGAAAAGTAAAATACCCACATAACATTAAGGAGTTGGAGTGGGAGAGAAGAAATCATATGAACAAAACTCTTTTAAAAGAAAAAATTCTAAGAGCAGTAAGAACTTAACAGATCCAGCTATTTCCCTCGAAATTGTACAATTTTTAATTAGAATAGACCTTAGAACTCATTTAGGGCAGTGGTTCTCAAACGGTGTGCTGCAAATGGCATGAAACTTATAATTGGAAATCCCCCCACCCCACACCCCATTCTTTCCTTGGATTCTTTATGATGGAGAATAATACTTACTCTGCCCATGCAAAAAAAGTTTGAGAACCACTCATTTAATTCAAATCCTTCATGTGGCTGAGGCCAGAGAAACAAAGGAGGGACTTATTTGCCAAAGGTCTCCATTTATTTTGCTGACTCGAACCCACTTGCTTTATTTACAGGCCAGTGTTTCCTAGTAATGTTATCAGGAATGCATAGCCTTTAGTGGACGATTTTTTTTTGGGGGGGGTGATCTCTGCCCTCCAGGAGCTGAAAAATCTAGGAAAAGGAACATAATTCACTCAGAATGTTGCAGCAAAACAAGATTTGTCTGTGGTCTTATAGAGATCCTTTCCTCACATGCCTCAGGCCTCCCCTGGTGTTAAGAAAGGGGTTAGTGAAGCCTTTTCTGACAGAAGTACCTCAGATATGTATTTCAATAAAATACATACTTTTGGGGTGAAATAACAAAGTCATTTGTCTCAGTAGTTTGTCAGGATACTGACATTGCCTTCCCTCCTCTCCCCCCTGCTCTCTCCAAGCTCTCTGTTTTCCTGGCTGGAGCTGGCTTCCTCACCCCAGCTTTCCAACAGATCCAGCAGATCAGGCTGGCTCCTCAGGGTTGCAACCATGTGGGTCCTAGATAACCCTGGTGGTAGAAATACCCACCTGCTACTTAGATCTACAGCTCTTCAGTCTCCACTTGTGTTCTTTCCATTTGCCCCATCAGGGGAAGAGGGAGAAGGGAGTATGTGTTTATATAGTGCCTCCTGTGTGCCAGGCTTTTCTCTGGGTTTCACACAACCTGTCCTTTCTCTGCCCCTTTCAGCAATTAAATTTGTCCACAATAACTGTTGTGGTTCAGAGAAGGATGAGAAGCTCATGGCCTTAGTAGACACTCTTCCTGAGTTGCTGTGACCAGAGGTATTCATCACCTGGGAGGCAAACCTGGGGTAACAAGCTTTTTGAATGGGCCTTGTCTGGTCTTTGGGTAGCACACTTGTAGTCAGTCCATCATCAGGTCTGTAGTCAAAGCCTTTCTGTGTTACTTGGATCTTCTGCGGCCTTCATTTCGGTGGCATACTGTGCAAGAGTTCAGGGTCACCTCCCTACCATGATAAGGCAGTAGAGTATGATTATATTATTTGCAAATAAAATGTAACACAAAGTTGAACACGTTCATTCGAGTCAGTAAACATTCAGTGTCTTCTGCGTATATAGTACTATCCTAGCCGGGGGGGGGGATAGAAAGTTTAAATGAGATAGTCTGCCTCTTGGAGAGGGTGATATGCATGTATTGTGTACTGCTGTAATACTAACTAACATATGGTATTTTCTGTCAGAGAGCTAAAGCCACCCGTCATGTGAGCTCTGGGGTGGTTGGGGAGATGTTACTGACTAAAGGGACCAGGGAAATCTCCATAGAAGAAGTGCTAAGTAAGCTGAGCTTCCAGGGTGGCTTCAGGAAGTCACCAGGCGGGGAGCAACTTGAACAGAGACCCAGATGCCAGTCCAGGCTGGGCCTTGGACCCACGAGGACAGAGCCTGGTGGGGCTGGAGATCGGAATTCCCTGTGAAGCAGGGAATGTAGTGAGAAGACTGGAGAGCTGGGACGGTGCCACACTGTGGTGGGCCCAGAGTGCCAGGCACAAGAGTTTGCTTTTGCTCAGGAAGCATTAGTAGCCATGACACCAGATCTACACACATGAAGATTAATTTGCCAGAGAATTCCTAGAAATGACTGTGATCTGTATGCTTTTACAGAACCATACAGGTCTTGACAGGTTTTTTTTTCTTTTTTGCTATTTGTCTAGCATCTATAAACAGTGTCAACGTCTATGGTTCTTAACAACACATACAATTTTAACTCATTTCTCATAATACTGAAGATAATTTAAAAAGAAACATACATTCATTAGGCACATACCCAGAGTGATACTCTCTGTATCTGTCTGCATCTCCCTCACTCCTGCCCACCAAAGGATTACTCTGAGACAGGAAGTGCTCAAGAGCTGGGATTTGGGGGAGGGCAGGTGGGACGAGAGAGGGCACAGAGGCATAACAAGAGAAGTCCTTGTTTCCCTAGTATCTGAGAGTCCTGGGAAGGGTGGTTCTTGAGAATAAACTTCTAACAACTGCAGCCAGGTCCTCTCTCCCCTGTTGGCCTCTGTCTCTATCCTGCCTCCAGCTTTTAGCATTCACATCCTCTGCTGGGCCTGTACTGAGAGATCTATGAGGCCATGAGACACTGTTAATAGTTACAGCTCGTGAGACCTCACTGTTAACGTTTCTCCATCCTGATAGGACCCTGTGTCAGAATTTCTTTTGGTCTCCTTGGCAACTGGAATTATATTAGCACATCAATAGTCCTAACAGAATTACAGTTTGTAATGATAGGTTGTATATTTCAACCAATGATCTTGCTACCTCACTTTTGAATTTAATTTTAATACACACACACACACACCCCATGTATAACATGTCAGTTAGGTCTAGGTCTTGTATATTTTTCCACTGTGGGAAGAATTTCATTTTCACGTGCTTTTGAAATGAACATAAATTGCTATATTATGTCTATACATAATCAGAATGGAAGAAACCTATTTACGTAGCCTAGAGAAGAAGGCCTGCTGTTCTGGTTATATGTGGCAGATAGTACATCTCATGCCGTAGATTGGTAGAGAGAGAGGAACCATTGTGCAGCTGGAGAACATTTAGCAGCCCCAAAGCCTTGGCACTTGAATCACCTGATTTGCCCTTCTGCTTTAACTATGTTTGAATTTAATTTGAGACATTCAGTAAAATCTCACCCTAAGTTATGATTTCACAGCTCAGCATCAACAGCCAGGACTAGGGTTTTATCAAAATTAAATCCGTGCACATTTAAAATTTTTAGTTGTTTTTCAGTTGTGCCCAACCCTTCATGGCCCTTTTGGGGTTTTCTTGGCAAAGACACTAGAGAGGTTTGCCATTTCCTTCTCCAGCTCATTTTACAGATGAGGAAACTGAGGCAGACAGTGTTAAGTGATTTGCCCAGGGTCACACAGCTAGTAAATGTCTGAGCCTAGATTTGAACTTAGGTCTTCCTGACTCCAGGCCCAGCACTCTATCCACTGTGCCATCTACCTGTCCCATTGTTAAAACAGAACTTTAACTAGATTTGATCTAATGCCACTAAAATCAAAAGGTAAGGGAGACAGAAGTGGAAGGATTGTCCTAACCTCTTCTGCAGTTAAAAAAAAAATCAAAGTAATTCTTTGACTGTCTTTTTTTTTTTTATCTCTGAATACCTTTCAGATGTTGATCATCAAATGGTTCGCATAATTCTCTTGTTAGCTTCCTGCCTTTGATGTAAATAAAGAATTTAGATTCCATCAACTTTTTGTCTTTGCCCTTTAGTCTCTGATTTCATCTGACTTGCCACAATGTTAGACTTCCCTATCCTCACTTGGTCAGCATCTCGTTTTTGGACTGTGATGTCTCAGGCATCTGCACCCCTCCCTTGCTACCATACTTTATTCACCTCATCTATTTTTAATTATGTTTTAGGCCAAGTTTATTTTAATGATGTCCATATCCTTTACCCTCTTCTTCCTGCTAGAAATGGGCTAAAACTAAGCTCTGATGATGTGTTGTAAAAGACTGCACCAAAAGAAGCAATTATCCACAGCAGGTAAGTAGAGTTTGTGAGCTGCCAGTTACACCAGCTGTATCCGGAACATGTGGGACCTCCATCATTGACATCTTTACAAGGAAATCTTTCCTTTGAAAGATTTTCCAGGATTGGAATGGAAAAATCTAGACAGGAGCATCTGATACTTGACAAGTAGAAACGGCAAAGGATCCTTTTTTGAACCTAGAGGTGGACCTCCAGTGGCCTGAACTTCCTTTTTTATGTTATGGGTCCCATGTTTCTTAGCAGGAAGGTCCCATGGCGGGCTCTTGGCATGGGTTCTGGTGTCCAGCTGCACGTTTCCTCCCTCCCCTTACTGTTCTAACTTACAGACTCTTAGTTCTTGAACACAGTAGGTTTTATGTCATTCTTTTCTCTTGAGAATCACTTGACAAAATTGTACCCAGTAATGTGATGAGTGTTTGTGAGGGTATCCACTTGTCTCTGCAGTGCAGAATATTAGAAAAAATGCAGACCAGGAGCCCAGGCCGGACTCCGTGGAGCCTCAGCTTCCATCCAGCTCTGGGATCCTGGGATTCAGTTCCTCCTTTTTTCTCCCAGAATCTCCATATTGTCTCCTGATGGTGTCACGTGTCAGACTTGTAGGTAGTATGCCTTGGACACCAGTATGTCACCACCTGGTGCCTCCCATAGCTCCCTCTTACCTCTGGGATGCAGTGCTAACTCCTCTAGGCCCCATAAAGCCCAAACCTGCCTTTTTAGAGGTAGTTCCCATAGTCTACATTTTAGCTAAATTCATCTGTCCTCATTCTTTGCCGTTGCTGTCTCTCCCATCTCTTGCCAGTCAATTAAGACCTGTTGTTCCCCCATCTGCAATATTTCTTACTTCCATTCCCTTAAAGTTGAAATACTGTGGCGGTTCAGTTGATGGGAGGATTTAGAAGAATCCTGAGACCTATAGTTATTTAAAACTTAGCACTTCTCATGGAGCTGTTTACCCAACTCTTTGAGGGTGGTGGCGTTAACCCAGAGCTATTCTGGGTAAGTTATCATTAATAACTATCACCATGATCCCTTAACCCAATGACTCATTTGTTCCTTTTTAGGTACCAGGTAATACAAGAACAAGCCAATAAATTAAGCTCTCCAGTTTCTTCTTCTGCATGTCCATTCTTAATTCTTTCTCCAGCCTCCAAGGGGCCTTTGCCAGCAGCCCTAGACTTTCTCTCATGAGCTTTTATATTCCTTTCTGAAACCCTCTGTGATTCACTCTATTCTCAGCATGTGTTACACCAGTGATCTAACTTCACTGTTAGTTTTCCTAGTGCTTTCTTTAATCCTCATAGTCTTAATTATCTTTCCAAAACCTTCAGTTCCACTTATTTCATCTCTTGAGCCCTGTGTCGTGTGGAGGAATTTTTGTCATCAGGTCACAGGCCTTGGGTTCGAACATCACCTCTGCTGCTTACTGTCTTTGAGACCTTAGGCATGCCACTTCTCCTTCCTGGGTCCCGGTTTCCTCATGTGTAAAATGAGGGGATTTGGGCTGGATGTTATTTGAGGGACCCCTTCAAGCTCTAGTCTGTGGTCGTATGATCTTTTACTTATGCATTGTGCCTCCATACTCAGCTCATGATGTTTTCCTAAATTCCTCATTCTGCCCAGATGTTTGAACAACCATCACTTTTATCTCCTGATGTTAACTCCAATACTCTTCACAAATACTTTTTTTTTAAAGGAGAGCAAATAGTATGCTTCCATATGCATTCAGACTCTATAGTTCTTTCTCTGGATATGGACAGCATTTTCCATCGTGAATCTTTTGGAGTTGTCTTAGATCCTTGCATTGCTGAGAAGAGCCAAGTCTATCAAAGTCAGTCATCACACAATGTGGCTGTTACTGTGTATAATGTATGTTCTCCTGGTTCTGCTCATTTCACTCAGCATCAGATCATATAAGTCTTTCCAGGTTTTGCTGAAGTCCACCTGCTTATCATTTCTTATAGCACAATAGTATTCCATTACATTCATATACCACAACTTGTTCAGTCATTCCCCATATGATGGGCATCCCCTCAATTTCCAATTCTTTGCTACCACACAAAGAACTACTATAAATATTTTTGTACGTGTGGGTCCTTTTCCCGTTTTTATGATCTCTTTGAGATACAGACCTAGAACTGGTATTGCTGGGTCAAAAGGTAGGCACATTTTTATAGCCCTTTGGGCATAGTTCCAAATTGTTCTCCAGAATGGTTGTGGATCATTTCACAACTCCACCAACAATGCATTAGTGTTCCAATTTTCCCACATCTCCAACATTTATCATTTTCCTGTTTTGTCATGTTAGCCAATCTGATAGGCATGATGTACCTCAGAGTCATTTTGATGTTGCATTTTTCTAATCAATAGTGATTTAGAGCATTTTTTCATATGAGACTGTAGATAAAAGCTCATACTTGTTGGTACCTTGCCCCTTGGTCATTGTGACCTGTATATATCACTTCTCTCTCCTTTCTCTGGTCTCTGATCTCTGTCCCTCTGACTCACCATCAGTCATCCTAGGTTTCCATTCTACCCTTCCAAGCCCCCTAGCATTTGTACCTGTGAAAATGGTGTGGTTAATGTGCATGTTGCTTAGGAAAACAGCTGAATTGAATCAAAAGGAATTAGAATTCAGTTTCATCCTAAGTAATATCAGAGGAAGGAATATGGACATTCTTCATGCCTTCTTCCTGTCGCCCTTTTCTTTTTGCCTTCTTGCCTGTGTCGTCTTTCCTTGGACCTGCTCTTCTAGAATATCTGTATAAACCTGTCAAAAGTGAAAAAGTATGATGGCAGCCAGTTTGCCACAGCTGAGGAAGTAATCAAGACGTTCTTCAACACGTTTGCTTCGTGTGTCGCTTCACTGATCATCTGCTTTCCCTGAAGAGAGTTTGGCCCAGGGATTGTATAGGTGTCTTTGTAGCCACTTTAAGGCCTTTTAGAGAAATCTTGTGGCTTCCTGGGTGGACCATTAAGGCTCCCACCTCTCCTGATTGGCTTAAAAGCTGCATTCTGTGATGACCTTATCCAGAGATGATCTCGGTACCTGCTGTGCCCTGATCAAACTTCCCAAGTGCCATGGTTCTGGGATTGACTGTAACACTGATTTGCCCCATTTTAGGGCTAATTGTACAGTTATTGTCCTCTTTATGGAGAAGGAAGAATGTTGACTGCCCCACCAATGACAAACTGAGTTCAGGTTTGCTGTGGTTGTGGAGCACTTGAAAACATCTGATACAGCCCCTTTGTCCTTTTCTGTAGGTTTTGTTCCAGCTGTGGGTAGGACAGAGTTCGGAGTTCTTCCGACGGCTGGCACTGCTCCTGTCCACTGTGAATGCACCCCGGGGGCCTTTCCTCACGCCTGCTCTTTCCTCTCATCATGTCCTATATGATGTGACTCAAGGTCTACCTCACGCGCATGCTGCTTGTTTGGAAGAACTTAAGCGCAGCTATGAGTTCTATAGATACTTTGAAACTCAGCATCGGTCAGAGGCGCAGCGTTTATCCAAAACAAAGCAGAAATCAAGAGAACTGAGCAGCCTTCACACAGCGGTACGCAGCCTCCAGCTCCATCTGAAAGCTTTGCTGAATGAGTGAGTAAAAGGGGAATGGCGGGAAGGAATTGTCCCAGATTCAGGGGCTTTGTCCTTTTGAGATTGTCTTAGAAGCTAGCTACGAGAGGAATACAGAGTTGAATCCAGGCTCCTGAAAGATGGTTGGTGATCCCAAAATAGGAGGGGGAATATTATTTTGTTATGTTTTGAGCCGTCAGGGCTGTTTGCCTTTCCTAATTTTAATATATAGAACAGGAAGGGACATAGCACAGTGGAGGATAATACAAATGACATGGTATTAGAGAATTTGCTTGAGGTAAGAGCGAAGAAAGAGAAATAGTGTCAATGAATCAGTGTGCTTCTAGCTGTTTTAAATTAGGCCCATTAAATTGGAACCCACAGTTTCAGAGAATAATTTACTGTGGCAATGTGACTTGAAATTTCAAGTTATTAAAAAAATAAAGTTATCTTAGCATTTTATTTATTTATTTGTTTGTTTGTTTTTGCTATCGGAGGGGGAATGTTGAAGGTTGTCACTGCTTAGTCTAAACACCTTCAGTGCTTTTTTTTTAAATATAAATTTATTTAGTTTTACTTTTCAACATTTACTTCCACAAGATTTTGAATTCCAAATTTTCACCCCATCTTGCCCCCCCCCACCCCAAGATGGCATGCATTCTGAATACCCCTTCTCCTAGTCTGCCCTCCTTTCTATCTCTCCCCCCCCTTCTCTTATCCCCTTCCCCTTCTATTTTCCTGTAGGGCAGGATAGACTTCTGTACCTCATTTCCTGTATTTCTTATTTCCCAGTTGCATGTGGAAACATTTTTTTTTAAACATGTGTTTTTAAAACTTTGGGTTCCAAATTTTCTCCCTTCCTCCCACCCCACCCACCCTCATTGAAAAGGCAAGCAAGTCAATACAGGCCATACATGTGCAGTTATGCAAAACACTTCCATAGTAGATGTGTTGTGAAAAACTAACTCTATTTCCCTTAATCCTATCCTGCCCCCCCCATTTATTCTATTCTCTCTTTTGACCCTGTCCCTCCTCAGAAGTACTTCCTTCTGATTACCCCTTTTCCAATCTGTCCTTCTCTCTATCATCCCCCTGCTCTCTTGTCTCCTTCCTCCCCTATTTTCCTGTGGGGTAAGACAGATTTCCATACCCAATTGAATGTATATGTTATTCCCTCCTTAAGCCAAATCCTAAGAGAATAAGATTCCCTCATTTCCTCTCACCTTCCCGTTTCCCCTCCACTGTAAGAACCTTTTCTTGTCTGTTTTGTGCGAGATAATGTACCCCATTCTACCTCTCCCTTTCTCCTTTCCTAGTATAATCCTCTCTCACCCCTTAATTTTATTCTCCAGATATCACCCTTTCATCTTCAGCTCACCCTGTGCCATCTATCTATCTATCTATCCATACATATAATTTTTCCCCTCGCACTACCCTAATATTGACAAAGGTCTCATGAGCAATAAATATCATCTTTCTATGCAGGAATGTAAACAGTTCAGTCTTAATAAGTCTCTTATGATTTCTCTTTCCTGTTTACCTCTTCATGTTCCACTTGAGTCTTGTATTTGAAAGTCATATTTTCTATTCAGCTCTGCTCTTTTCATCAAGAATGCTTGAAAGTCCTTTATTTCACTGAATGACCATTTTTTCCCTTGAAGGATTATACTCAGTTTTGCTGGGTTTTGATTCTTGCTTGTAATCCTATCTCCTTTGCCCTCCGGAATATTATATTCCATGCCTTGAGGTCCCTTAATGTAGAAGCTGCTAAATCTTGTGTTATCCTGATTGTGTTTCCACCATACTTGAATTGTTTCTTTCTGGCTGCTTGCAATATTTTCTCCTTGACCTGGGAACTCTGAAATTTGGCTACAATATTCCTAGGAGTTTTCTTTGGGATCTCTTTCAGGGGGAGATCTGTGGATTCTTTCAATTTCTATTTTGCCCTCTGGTTCTACTATATCAGGGCAGTTTTCTTTGATAATTTCTTGAAAGATGATGTCTAGACCCTTTTTTTGATCATGGCTTTCAGATAGTCCAATAATTTTTAAATTTTCTCTCTCCTGGATCTGTTTTCCAGGTCAGTTGTTTTTCCAATGAGATATTTCACACTGTTTTCTAATTTTTCATTCTTTTGGATTTGTTCTACTGTGTTGTGATTTCTCATAAAGTCACTGTCTTCCAATTGCTCTATTCTAATTTTTAAGGAAATATTTTCTTCAGTAATCTTTTGGACTTCCTTTTCCATTTGGCCAATTTTGTTTTTTAGGGCATTCTTCTCCTCATTGGCTTTTTGGACCTCTTTTGCCATTTGGGTTAGGCTATTTTTTAAGGTGTTATTTTCTTCAGTATTTTTTTGGGTCTCCTTTAGCAAGCTGTTGACTTGTTTTTCATGATTTTCTTGCATCACTCTCATTTCTCTTCCCAGTTTTTCCTCTACTTCTCTTACTTGCTTCTCAAAATCCCTTTTGAGCTCTTCCAAGGCCTGGACTGATTCATATTTTTCTTGGAGGCTTTGGATGTAGGAGCTTTGACTTTGTTGTCTTCTTCTAGTTGTATGTTTTGATCTTCTTTGTCACCAAGGTAAGATAATATAGTCTGACTCTTTTTGCGAGGTTTACTCATGATCCCAGCCAACTACTTGAGTTTTAAACTCTTTGTTAAGGTAAAAGTCTGCTTCCAATGTGGAGCATGTACTGTCCCAAGCTTCAGGGGTTTGTATAGCTGTTTTCAGAGATACTTCTAGGGACCTGTAAATTTTCAGTTCTTCCAAGGTGGTGTGATAAGGGTCGAGGTGTTTACTCTTTTCCTGGCCTGTGCTCTGGTCTTTGAGTGACTGTCTACAAGCAGTCTTTTCTCTCTTAGAACTGTGAGGAGGATTTCCTCTCCACCACCACTACAAGCTCCACCATGCCAGCACTCCTCCTCAACCCAGAACTGTGACCCAGATCCAAGCACGGGCAATGCAAGAGATTCCTGCCTCAGCACTGGCAAACACATCCCTGAAAACCCCCTCTGATCAGCCACTCGATTCCCCTTCAGTCTGTGGGCCAGAAGCTCGGGAGGCAGCCACCGCCCCGGCGCCCATGCTCTGAGCTCTGGAGCTGACTCTGACCTAGCTCTTCTCTCACTGAAAAAACAGACTTTTCCCACTGACCTTCTAAATTGTCTTTGGCGTTCGTGGATTGAGGAGTCTGGAAACCGGCACAGCTGCCTGTGATTCGTTCCTCTGAAGCCTACTCCAGGTTCGCTGGGGCCTGCGCGCCCACACCGAACTGAGCTCCTCTCCCCGCCCAGCACGAAATGCCTTTCCAATCAACCATGCAGGCTGTCTTGGGCTGGAAATTTGTTTTACTCTGTCTTTTTGTGGGTTCTGCTCCTTTAGAATTTGTTTAGAGCCATTTTTTTATGGGTATTTGGAGGGGCTTGGGGGAGAGCTCAAGCAAGTCACTGCTTTCACTCTGCCATCTTGGCTCCGCCCCCCATCCTAGCATTTTAAAAGAACAGATTTTATCATAAAACAAGAAATTATTTCAAACATTTGGCTGCTTTTCAATGCTTTTCTCCAAAAGTGCCTACCTGATTTCAAACACTTAAAAGTTGAATGAGGTATGAGACCCCTAGTTGGCATTTGCTGATCTTCTGCTTAGCACAGAAACAATGGTACTCCGGCATTCGTAGTGAACTTTATAAGTCCTTTATGTATACATTAATAACTGAAAACCTCTTCATAAACTTCAAGCTGGAGGATAAAACTGTCTCAGGACAGAGAAGCGTTCTTCCTGTTTAAAAAAATCAAATCCGCGCACACACACAACATTTGAGAGCCACCTCTCTCTCCCAGAGAGTAAGTATTTTTAATGAAGGGTGCCCTGAGTTGCCAAGAGTCATGACCAGCCAACTGTGTCCATATATACTAACACGGGATTGTACTGCAACCATAATGACTGTCATATATAATGCCATGATGCTTAACCTTGTCAGTAGACTTTCTGAACGACCTTTACATGTTTGTAAACTCTTACAGCTGATATTTTCAGGCCTGTTTCTGCTTTCCTTTCTTGCCCAGGGTTATAATTCTTGAGGATGAACTTGAAAAGCTTGTTGGTACTAAGGAAGCAAATGCACTAGAATCCGAGGCCTATCAAGTCCTGGAGCAGAAGTTAAAGTTGCTCCAGCCTCGGGTTCAAGCTAGCAACAGCTGCTGGGAAGAGGCTCTTTCTCAAGTTGATAAACTGGTGCGAAGAAATTCAGATAAAAAAGGTACGTTTGAGAGGTTCCCCTGGCAAACACTTGATAGTCAGGCCTTCTTTATTTAATACCAGTTTCATTCCTCAGATAAGTAGTTAGCTTCCAGGATTCAGGTTGAAACTGACTTCAAAGATTTTCCTGGTTTTCCAGCATTGAATTTACTGTATGTATGTGATGGCATCCATGCAGATACAAAACTGACTAAAGAGTTTTACAGTGTGATAGGTTAAGGTGTAAGAGCCTCATTTAATGTTATGGAGCACTTACAACATACCAGCTATGATATAACCAAACAGAATATACAAGGATATGATCTTTGCCTTCTGCTTTACAAGTAGGCATTCAAAAATGACGAGGCCAATAGATCCATACCTTCTTTTGTAGATAGAGTGTGAATGTGCCTCTGTATATGTGTTTACATATACATGTGTAACCTGGGTATAGGACTGACACACTCTGGCAACATCGCCCTTGGACATGATGTCTAATGATGACACCTGGATCTCCTTTCTCCCCCTTTGGACTAGTCAGCTCACTCCAACATGCATTCATACTGTCAGGTCTCAGGAACTTTCCCAGAGTCAGGGATCAGCCATAGGCAAGACCACACTTCTGCAACTCATCGCTGATTATACTGAGGGTAATCTGTATTGGGGGAGAGGAGATATATGCCTACTACCTGCCACTGTGGCTCCTGAGTCCCCATCAGTGTGCTTAATACAAAGCAGCCACAATAACACCGTGATCTCTTAAGCATAAAACACTGAATAAAGAAGAAGGCAGAATCAATAATAATAACATACCATACACTAAAGCTAAGACAAAAGCAGGAACGATGAGATTTAACAGTGCATTCATAAACCTAGATCACACTCTTCCAGCAGTCGACATCATATCTGTGAAGGACGGTGGGTCCATTGTGCATAAGGAAACTCCTGTGCCTAGGGTTGCTCACAGCTCTGGCCTGCAAGCCTGGATGCTGGCTGTCCCTTTTGGTCTGTACCACCTGTTCCTCTTCTAAGGCTCTCCACTCCCCTGCTGCACAAAGCTCTTTCTCCTCCATTCATGGGTGATTGAAGCAGTGTGGAGCTGGTTTAGTAAAGCAGTAGCAGCAGCCCTGAGGCTGGGGGCTGCAACTTTCCCTGTCAGTTTCTTTGGGTAGGTGCTAAATTTAGGCTTTTTCAATTTCAAGCAGTTGCCTAACCCAGATCTGCTCTATGGGGCTCAAAGGAGTTTCTCCCTCAAGATAAAAAGGGAAGTAGAGGACAGTGCAGTCAAGTACCTGAAGGATTTCCCTTCTCTATGACTCTAGAGGTGGCTAAAGGTCAGTAAGTCTAGCCAGCAGCACGATTCTCTTCCAGCACCTACAGAACTCTCCTCCAGTGAGCTCTGAGTACCCACAGAGTCAGCCCAATTTCAGGCAGTCTCTCTGTGCTCGTCTTCTGATTCCCCTCTGACCTGTTTCTTTGAGGCAGCAGGAGATAATCTCTACCATCAGCCTCTCCAGGCAGCTACTGTATTTTCTCATTCGTCTAATCTCTAATTTCTCTTCTCTTCCCCCTTTTGAGTCTCTTAATAACTGCAAATCAGGGTCTCCTCAGCAGTATTCAGGATTAAAACTCAGGATTAAAAAATTCAAAGTGCATAGTTAAGTATAACAGAAGCAGTATGTAATTTCCCCATATTCCCAAACACTTATATGATTTATAGTTTCTGATCTCTAGCCCTTAAAACCCTGAAAAAAATTGCACATGAGTGAATGGATGAACAAGAATGCTTCACACCCGTCCCCCACTTGCACTTCTGACATGCTTATCAGACAGGTCCTCTCAGTGCATTTATCTGAGGATCCTTTTCTCTTCTATCTTCAGAACAGTCTCAAGCTGCTTTTCTGATGTGAATAATTTCTCTCTGACCCCTTCTGCAACTAATATGTCCACCTATGAAGGAGGCAGTCCATATTTCCATCTTTATCTGAGAGAGGTAGAAGGAATGTGTGTGTGTGTGTGTGTGTGTGTGTGTGTGTGTGTATGTATACACATCGTTAATACTTTAAGTGATCTGTGATTTCACTAACAGTTCTCCATTGACATCGATCATAACTTCTCAGTTCTTTAGTCTCGGTTGACAAAAAAAAATTCCTCACTCAGTGCCCAGCCTCTGGTGATAAGCTTCTCCAAACGTAGGAAGGAAGCAGAAAGTTCTCTTGACACACTTTTTTAGTGTCCTCAGATGTTTTTAGCTACCTCATGAGTCTGATGTAAAGGGCTCAGTAATTGGAGACAAGAGGCTTTATGAGTGAGGTTCTTCTTTGGATATAAGCTACCTTTGGCTATTTAAAATGGTGTTTAAGAAAGGAATTGTAGAAATGCCTTGTAGGAGTAGTCTAAATTATGGTATTTTGTAGGCTTATGATCTCTTTACCTCCCCTTAGTAAAAAGAAAAAGACTTGGAAAAGAGAAACATTATTTTAAAGGGGAAAAAAGAGCTTCAGACTCAGAATTCCTAGGCCACATCAGCCACATCTACTCAAATCTAATCCATAGATAGTGCCGTTTTCCATTTGTTTCTACCAGCTATTCAGAATTTTGTTTAAATAGAAAAGGAGCTAGGTTGGTTTGAGTACTAAGAGTGAGGTTCCCATAAAACATTAAAAAGGCCCAGATGAAGCCCACTAGCATTTGTCACGATTTCCTGTGAAGTGTTTACAAAAAGACCTGGACGAGAAGCCCACAAAGGAGAGGGCATTGAAGGGTTGCAATCTGCATCTGTGGAGGGAGTGGCCATGCAGACAAGCTCATGGACCCATTAACGGATTGAGGCCTCTCCTTTTAAATTTGACCACTTTCATCTTTTTTACATGTGATTGATTTGTGCTTACAAAGAGCTTTGTCTTCTAAGCAGTGCCAGTTAGGATGCCTCATCAAGATTCTCTCTTCTGTATTTGGTTAGCATGCGATTTTGAAGTCTGACTCATGTGACCCACGATGGTTCACATTTCTCAGTGGCTATTAGGACTAGTCAGGGTTTTATCATTCTTCTACTAATCATCAGTTTGTCTAAAGGTAATTCAGTGTCACTAGGTTTAATGTTTCACCAAACTGATTAAGCTTTTAGTCAGAAAAACTTTTATAAATTTGTCACAGGAAACTAGTATCTTGACATGTTTCAAGATTGCTGTTTTAGTTTATATCCAAAATATAATTAGTAAAGCATTTTTCCCCTAAGGCACAAGTTTGTCATTTGCTCAGAGCGTGCCTAAAAATTTTCACTGTTAGATATATTGATTTGCCCTAGTCTTAGAGCTTTTGATTACTTTTTGTAGAAGCCAGAATGCCTTTGGTGTATTAAGTTAATGCACCCATTCATCTATCAGCCCATGGCCAAAGATAACATTGGGAGCTTCACTTTTCCCTTTAGAAAAACCATTTTTATTAATTTTATTTCTTCCTGCCTCCAAGCCCGACATTGTATCCACTGTGCCACCTGGCTGCCCTTAAAAACTTACTGCTTGGTGAATTAAATAGATAATGTGGAGTGAAATATAGCCGTGAATTTCTAAGGCTAATCTGCATTTTCATCTTCATATCTTCAGTTACTCAGTGTCCACTTTGGTTTATTATGGCAAAAAGTATTGTTACCATGACATTGATTGCTAAATTGTTCAGTAATAGAAAATTATTTTTACCTGTGCTCTAACCTTTCGTTATCTTCAGTAATTTAGTGCATCTAATTTGATGCACCGTCATCTTTTCTTTCTCAAAATTTGACCCAGTGCCATTCCTAAGCAAAATTGTGAACATAGGGAATACCCATCCTGTGCCCTTCTGCCCTTCTCCCCTTCCTGCTCTCAAGTGGCCAGCTCCCCCGCATCTTGAGTTGAGGTTCCATTCTGTCACTTTCACATTTTGCCAGGCCGTGGTCCTCTCTCTCAAGGCTCGTCTTCTGCTTGTGTAATAATGGATACATGTATGTTCATGTTAACATTAGCATTTTGATCTGGGAAGAGGGGGGAAAGATGGGAAGAAAAAGATGTCATAATCTTTAAAAGTGACTTCTCTTGCAGGTAAGGACTGTTTGTTGTTTTTTTGGTCATAATCCCAGCACCTAGAACAATGTCGTACACATAGTAAGTGCTTATTAAATGTTCACTGAGTTTGTGATGGGATTTCTAGAACCTTTAGCAAGTTATTTAGGGGAGAGGTTTGGTAGTAGATGAGTGCTAAAGGACCCCTGAAATCATACAGCGGGAGAGAGACCCCATAATTATGGTGGGATACTGTCAGCCCTCAGAAATAATTTGTTACAAACAGATGTAATCCAAAATCTAGCATAATTTAAATACTGTGTGCCTATGCCAAGCTTTGATGTCCAGAAAATATATGTTTATTTGTTTGAGACAGTTCTTATTTTTGGCTTAGGTACCAGTACTACTGAGGTGAACAATAGAAAGGTGGTTTAATAAATGTGTTACAGCTTTTATAGAACATTTTTCCATATATTTTTATAGAACATTTATTCCATATATTTTTATAGAACATTTATTTACAATCTTATGTGTGCACATTTTTTCCCTAAGCTATAAACCTGGAATCCTAGCAGACATTTTTTTACACTCTCTTAAGACAATCCAGTGTTAGAATTTTGAAACAAATAGTATGTTCCAGTAGTCAGATTAGTTTTAATTAGTGTCTCATACATTTTGCTGCCTTCTGAATTGAAGACTTCGAAGTTTTGATTGTAATTCTTTTAGTGCATTCATGGTCAAACATGCTTGTTTCTCACATTTTCTCATTCCTTATAGCATTGAATAAAAACTTGCCACTCCTTACTTCCTACTTAATATGTTACCTTGCACACTTATTATGCTGATGGGTCTCCTACTTCAGTAAACATATTGTGTTTGTACTGCTAAAGTCACATTGAATCAACAAGTATCTCCTGAACACCCACTTTCTAAGAGGTATTCTCCTAGGAGCACAGATGGGTAAATAATGGCCCCTGCCCCCAAGAAGCTGCCATGCTGTATTTTACCACATCAAGTCAAAAAATTCAAATATTTTTATTCCTAAGATATTCTTGAATATTTAAAAATTATTACTAGAACAAATGGTAATGTTACTCAGTTATTTAGAGTAATGTCTGGTGCAGGGGACATTTTGTAGAGGACAGTGGTTTTACATTTTGCATCTAACTCAAAATCATAAGAAGAAGTTCTTTTTATTCTGGTAGGCTCCAGTCATTTTATGTGGATAGACAATTTATATTTAAAACTTTTTTCTGCCATATTTATAAGTTATACATTTTTTACATTGCAGTTTTTTCATTGCTTACTTTTTTTTTTTTGGTAATTTCTACAGAATTTATATGTAATTCAGCAGTGGAGCAAAGGTTTTACCCAGTATTGGAAATAACCTACTTGATCCATAATGAGTAACTCAAACATAAAGCATTAACAAATGGTTCGTCATTCTGTTACTAAGACAAAGTAATTTAGCACTGCCAAAAAGTATGACTGGAGTCCTTTGTTACCATTTTCTTTACCCCCACCTCTCTTATCTCAGAATGAGCTCATTTGGATGTTTTGGTCTGGATTTCCCTCAAAGGTGATTTGCCATCAAAATCTCCCCAGGGAGTGGCATTTCTCATTATCAAAAAGTTAAGTAGAATGAACTCCATTTTTGGTCACTGTCAAAACACATGGGAAAAAAAACCATTTTAAGAAGTGGTGGACTGACTAGTTAATGTTGGCAGAAGGAAATTAAGATTTGATCTGAGATATTAACATGTTGAACCATGTGTATCCTTAGGAGTCATCATTCCTTTGATCTTTGTTATATCTTTGTGTGTGTGTGTGTGTGTGTGTGTAAATCGGGGTTAAGTGACTTGCTCAGGGTCACACAGTAAGTGTCATGTGTCTGAGGTCGGATTTGAACTCAGGTCCTCCTGACTCCAAGGCCAGAGCTTTATCCACTGCACCACCTAGCTGCCCTGATCTTTGTTATATCTTTAAGAAAGTTCAAATGATCGTAGCTCAATCCATAAACATTGAAGGTGGAGCATAGAAAAGTAAACTTGAAACCAGATGAACCTCTTAACATTGCCTATTTCTTTGGGTCAGTTATTCTGCGCTCCAGGTAAACAAGATGATCTTGAATATTTCCTAATGCATCTTACCAAATCTGCTTCCTGACTCTTGTGAGAACACCGTAGACGGTTGAAATTTGTCACCTTTTCTATGAAATGCATATGTAATTACTGATGATATGTAGTAACAAACATTTTTGAAACTACCCTCTTATGAGGAGCTAGATCCTACATTAAGGATTAATTAAGCTAGTTTAGTCAGCGCAAGCATACCTCTTTGCTCTTTGGAAGGTATTAATCAGTAAAGCTTCTGAACACGCTATTCGCTCTCTGGATAAAGGATCAGATCTGCTCCAGCAGGTTGGCTATCTCTTTGGAGAGGATGGAAATAAGGGAGGGAAGGGAATATGCATTTAAAAAGCACTGACTATGTACCTGACACTGTGCTAAGCACTTTTCAGATATATTTACTTATGGGCCAGAATTGCACAAGAGGATTGCTGGTTTGCATTTAGTAGAGAGAGCGCTCCTGAAATCACCAGTCCATCACAATTATTGGAGAAAGGGAGCTTTGGCCTGTGGAAAGGGACATGAGGCAGAATCCTTTTTTCTAGTACTTTGGTCCAGTAGGAGTAAATATTTTAAAATGTTATGCCCATGATTATTCTAAACAGTGTTGAATGTTTGAGCTTGCAGGTACTCCAGCAAATGTGAAAGAGGGGAAAGCTCCCATACACATGCATACCATGTGGTTGACAGTTTCTGTAGCCTTGGTCTTTTTGAGAAGGTGAATTGTGATCTGTAGAATTGCCCCAAGACTTTTGTCATCAGCGGTACCCCAGATTCCAAATGACCTGTTTCTTTTCCTCATTTGCCCTTCTAAAGGCAAACCTGAAGTAGCATGCGAAGCCCCACACTGTGCCACGGTACCTTTGCCACGGCCTGCACTACATATTGAGGACAAGGACCCAATACCTGAAGAGCAGGTAAGAAACAAAGACCTCCGTGCTCATGAAGAGCCTGAATGGAGAAAGCCAGAGTCCATTTCTGCCCTGGCATAGCTGTTAAAACAGTGTCATTACCCCAGAGAGGCACTGGGATGTCCTGGGCAAATGCAGACTTTGGAGACAGGACCCCCTGGGCATAGCTCCTGTGTCTCACCAACGGGCTCAGTGGTCATGGCAGGGGTGCCGTAGCAACATGAGCCAGGCCCAGCTGCTCTGCTGGTGAGCTCCAGAAGTCCCACAGAGAGGCTGAGTTTACTGAAACAGTATAATTAACTGTTATGTTTTTGAAGTTAAGTCCTCAGTTCAACAGATCTTTCTTTTTGAAAGCCATTTTCAAAGAAGCCCTCAAAAATAATGGAACATTGTTAGATGAAGTTATATCTGTAGTTGCAGTTAATGTTAAGTGTGAAATAGATGATTTAATTTTTTTCATGAATGTAATTTGGCATTCACTTTTGTTTCCTCCTAATGCATCTCTAAAGCTTTGAAGATGAGTTAAGGGGAATAAGCTGGCAAGTTCCCAAAGGTAACCAGTACCCCACATGCTTTCCAGCTCTTGTACCACTTGGTGATTATACCTTTAGTTTGGGTGACCTTTAGCAAGCCTCTAGGTAGGCTGGCATCTAAGCTGAGGATTACAGCTAATGCGTTAAGGTCTCCCACAACTCTTTTTCTGTTTGGTCTTGGCCAGGGGCAGGGAACCTGCAGCCTCGCCACATGCGGCCTCTAAATCCCCAAGTGCAGCCCTCTGACTGAATCCGAACTTCACAGAATAAATCCCCTTCAGAAAAGGATACCAATAATAAAAGGCAAGACTCTTGCCTGTTAAGTCTATGATGCTGTCCTGCTAAATATTATCCTCTAAATTGTTCCTTAATGATCAGAACTGCAGAATAAGCCCTCATTTGTTGTGGGGGATGTATGCTTAGATAGCCGTCTTTTTAAAACACAAAATTGAAGTTAAGTGAGCCTAACGTGAGTACAAAAAAATGCTTACTTGAAGTATAAAAATTGTTTTCATGGTGTAAAGTGCATTTGTGTGTATTTGCAGGAATTGGAAGCTTATGTGGATGATACAGACATGGACAGTGATTTCAGAAGAGATGACTTTTATTATTTGTCTCAAGAAGACAGAGAGAGGCAGAAGCGGGAGCGGGAAGAATCTAAGAGAGTTTTACAGGAATTGAAATCAGTGTTAGGATTTAAAGCCTCAGAATCAGAGAGGCAGAAATGGAAGCAGCTTCTGTTTAGTGATCATGGTAAGCTTTCAATTTTAAAAGTTATTTAAGTTTGTCAAACATTTTTTCCTATGCCACCTTCTCTTTACTTAGCCATAGTCTCTTTAATGATACATGACTTTAGTTTGGTGATCTAACAGTAAGTATATACATAAGCACTATTATAATGACCAGCAAAAAAAAAAAGTAATTATATGGTAATAGATGTAATCCAAGTTGACGTGTTTTCACTAATTGCTCTCATTCTTAAGAACTGATTTTGCTGATGAATCAGGCATTGAATTGTAGATTTTTAAATGCTATAACTTAATTTTCAGGTATAGGCAGGAGTATGAGGTCTTGAATCCTACATAACTTCTGTGTGTTAAGGTAATTGTCTGTAGTATTAGATGCATGATCTTAATCCAGTTCACCATTGAAACTAAAAGAGTTGAGATCAGATCTCTGAAGTCACGTGTAATTAATGACAGCAGCCTGTAGTCAGAGGACTCCATTCATGCCACCCCCACACCCTCATTTGCAAGCTGGAGCTGCAAGAGAATTGACTTAACTATCATTTTTTCTTCCTCAACCAAAACTCTGAGGAAATTTATTCATATAATCTCATAGCAGATCAGAGTATCCTGTCTACAGCTGAGATTTTCCTGTGAATGTTTGGAGAGGCAAAAATGCTACTTCCCTGCCACTTTAGAATGTCTGGGGAGAGTATGAAAACTATCACCTTTTTACCTTTTTCTGAGCCATGGAGATTCCCCTTACTGAATGGAAAGTCCACTGAAGTCCCCCTCCTGAATTTTTTGCATCCACCAATTACACAAAACCTTGGGAGTCATCTGATTCTGGGATCCCCTAATCTTTTCCTCCTTCCTGCCTCCTTCATTTTCCATCTACAGTCACCAAAACCAATGAGTTTTCCCTCTGAAGTGCCTCTTGTATCATGGCTTCCTGTTCCTCCTCTCCCTGCCATAGACCAGGTCCTAGTTGACTTGTGCCTGTATTCCTCCTCAGCCCCACCAGATTTCCCTTCCTTAAATGGCCTGTTTACCATATCATGTCCCCACTCCAGAGTCTTCACTTCTTCCCTGGTTCTCCTCCATAATTCATAGCATCAGAAGCTGTAGAACTGGAAAGAAACCCCAGATCATCTGGCTGTCCTCTAACATAGATCCTCTCTGGCCACTAACCGACCAGAATTTCAGAATCCAAATCTAGTCACCTTTTTAATACAGATTGTCACCTTTGTAATTCAGTTGCTGTATTTGCCAAGCATCTAAGGCTAAAGCACTGTGCTAGGTGCTGCTGGAGATATGAGATGAGTAAGACCCGTTGTTCCTGCCTTCAGGGAAGGCACCTACACTCCATAGAGGGGATGAGACAAGTACACAGATGACTGCATCATGAGGCCGAAGGCCTAACATAGATGAGACACAAAGTGCTTATTATGTCTCCTGGTGGAAGGCTCCATAAATGAAATAACTTTTAAGATGGGCCTTCCGAGGGAAATAGGAACTCAGGGGCTAGAATTGAAAGTCTTGGGGGGCACTCTTCTTCCCTGGCCGTTCAGAGGGAAGACAGGAGCAAAAAGCCCAGCAGGGAGTCCATTTGGAGCACGTTTGGCGGGCAGTGAGTGGCCCAGTTTGGCAGAAGTGTGGGAGAGCCTCAGCAAAGAAGGCTGGATAGAGGTGGTAGGGCCATATTTGGGAATACTTTGTTGGTCTTGATGTTTTAGGTAGTGGGAAACCATTAAATATCTTTGAGCCTGAGAACAGCCTAGCAGAGCTATGATGACTCTGGCAGTGATACATGACTCTGACCAGAATCAGGAGACCCTGAAAGGAGGAAGTTTAATGAGACTAGAGTCATGATTCAGGTGCACAGTGAGGAGGCTTGAAGAAGGGGCTGGCTTTGGGACCAGTGAAGAAGAAACGGATCCAGAGAAGACGTTGCCAGGGAGCTGGAGGAATCAAAGATGCCTGATCACTTAATTCAGTGGACGTTGTCCAGCAAACCATCGAATATGTAGTGAGGTTCAGGCTGGAGCTAGAGATGTGGAATCATCTGTATTGGCGTGAGAATAGAAGCCATGAGAGAGTCTGGAGAGAGAAAATAAGAGCACTGAGCTTTGAACGTGTAGGAGCACCTACAGTTAGGGGTGAAGAAGAGCCTGCAGCAGGAAAGAAGCTTGAAGGGTTAGGAGAAGTACCAGAAATACTTATCATCACAGAGAAGAGGAGAATTTCACAAAGAAAGTTGGGCGGCAGTGATAGCGTAGAGCATGAAAGGGGAATGAAGTCTGTGAAAAGCTACTGGGTTGATCTAGCAGGGTTGATCTCATACTTTTTGGCCTTGGGATCCCTTTGTACTCTAAAAAATTTTTGAGGATGTCCCAAAGAGCTTTATCTATTAATATTGACTACATACAAAATTAAAATACCTCTATTAAAATTAATTATTAGAAAAATTAATTCAAGGCTTGGTAAAAAAGTAAATAGTTTTGATCCTGCAGAAACATCCAGGGGTCAGCAGACCACATATTGAGGACCACTGGGTTCGTCCGTAAGATGATGATTGGTGACTTTCAAGAAAGCAGATATATTCATTATAGAGGTGGGAGATGGAAGCCAGGTTTAAAGAATAAATGAATACAGCAGAAATGTTCTATGCTCCCTGTCTATCCTTTTTAAGAGATTTGACTGGGCAGAACGGTAATTTAAGAGGGTAGCTGGCAGGATTAGCAGGAGAGATTTTTTGGAGAAATAACTTGAACATTTAGTAAAGAAAAGATCCCACAGAGAGAGGTTAAGGATAGAGGAATGATTGGTGAAGTGAGGTCCTAGAGAGCTCTAGGGAAGATCACAGCTCAGGTGGGAAGGTTAGCCTTGGTCAGGAAGGAGGAAGAAGGGAGAGACTGAGGTGGAGAATGATACCGTCAGAGGTCTTTCATCTTCTGTGTAATCTAGAAAGGAAGGTCCTCTGAAGGTGAGCTATGGTTGTTCCCTGTCCCCACACCTTCCTTACCCCTCAAACTCATATGATGGAAAAAGTCACAATTAACAGCTCAGTAGCCTAACAAAATGGTCCAGTATTGAAATCACTCGTTCAGGTGCACCATGAAAACCTCTGTGAAGTCTAAAAATAGCTTAATACATCACCTTACATCAGCTTTTTCATGGGCATTTTGGAACTTTTTTTAGCTTGTACTAGCTTGCTGCCATAATAGTAAAAGACATAGCAATAAAATTGTCATTTTTAAGCATGTGCTGTTGATGTTTATTTGCATTGGAAGTATAACATTCTTTTGTTTAGCATATGGAAACAAAGAGTAATGGAAATAGAGAAAAAACCTGCTAGTACCATAAACTGCTTTCCCATGAAAAATTTCTGCGCATCTTCCAGAGTTATTTTCATCTCTGCTTACAGGGGTAAAGTCCGAATGGAATTAGAAAGGGAAATTCCAGCCGGGAGCCTGCTGTTGCCATTTTTGTCTATGTTGCTGCTACTCTAGTGAAACGACTGCAGCTTAGGGATGTTTTTTGGAAATGGACACTTGCTTTGCACACAAAAAAAAAAGTTAATAGACTCCAGTTCTTCAAGAAGCACATTGTTTTTGTCTTCAGCCATGCTCCATTAGATCGTATTGTACTAACCCCCTCCTGCTGGGAGGAGAGACTGCCTGGCAAGCTCCCTGTTGCGGGCAATGGGACCCACTACCTACTAACATCGAGAGGGGCTAAAAAAAACTCCATTTCCCTTGCAAGGACAACTTCTCCTGCCGTATGGATATCCATCATATCTATGCATTGTGCTGTGTACAGTGGCTGATCTTGATTGCAGATTTTGTTTCATTAATATTTCTGTTTTTCATTGGTTTAGAATGAGCAGGGTAGCATTTAGTGCTTTGTATAGACACGCTTTGTTTTCACCAAGGATTTGTTAGGTCACTCACTGGCTTATCTGTTTGCATCTTATCACGCTATGTTTTAATATACAAAGTATATGTTAATTTGAGAGATTAGTGTTTTCCAAATTATTGTATCAGGCTTACTTCTGATACATAATTAGGAAAAGCCATGCTATTTTTTTTAAGAAGAGAATATAGTTTCAGATATTTTCAGAATTGAGCAACATCGTATCTCTAATCTCTCTAAAATCCGAGTCATCTGCTTAATTCATTTCTTTTTCTATATGTTGCTTATAAAGGTTTCTGGCTTTATGATTTTCGCCATTTCACCAAATATTCCTGATTTTGCTTAACTTGGATTTTTTGTTAAGAGAAGTTTGTTATAATTCTGATTCAGATCTTGCATTTAGTATACCCAGTCCCTCAGTCATTAAGAGATTGCCTTAGTTATTTTTTCTTTTTTTTTTCTTTTAAGCTGTGATGAAACCCTTGTCTCCTGTAGAACCAATGGAATCCATAAATAATTCAGAATCATCTGTGAATTCAAATAAGGATAAGGATGGTCATAAAAGTGAAAGTGACCCTGAAGAGGGAAATAGTGAACTAAATCCTACCCCGAATGACAGTGAAATAAGTAGGACTGAGTACTTACGTGATGGTCCTTCGCACTGTCAGAATGAAGACAGTACTGTGAAGGAAAGCTTGCTGGCAGAGGCTGAAGAGAGAACATGTTACCAGTGTGAGAGTGAAGGCGGGTCTGAGCAGATCCCGGAGGGTGGCTTGGAGACTCTTCAGCCAGCACTCAGTGACTCTGTACAGACCTCCATCCGGGAGAGGCTGGCGCGCCTCCACCCAGCACCGGATTTCAGCATCACTGCTGGTCTTGCCGCACAAGTGGCTGCAAGATCTCTCACGTTTACCAACATGGAGGAACATACTTTTGAAGACAGTGAGACAGAGGAGGAAGATGAAGGAGAAGAACAGAGACCCCAGACGAGACAAGAAAATGTAAACAAGGTAGAAGAAAGTGAGAACAAAGAAACAAATGTAGAAAATGAAGGAACATAATTCTCAACACTTACGAAACACTGTCTTGGCTTCTTAGCTGGATAAAGAAGTTTAAAGTGTTCCATTAAAAGGGATGATGAATGTAAGGGGTTTACTTTATAAGGTTTCACAGAGAAGATCATAGTTGGAAAAACTGCTCTAAATTATTTACTCTTAAATGGCACACTGGGAGAGAGTTTCCATTTTCTTGCATATGTGAGAACATGCAAGGTCTCCCTAGAGGAAACTGCTATTTTATTATTATGACATTGACTGATACTATGGAAATGATTTCAAGATTTTGTCAATTTATCACTTATAATACAAAATGTGTATTTCCCATTTATGGCCTGAATTTGCTCTTGAAAAAGGTAATTGGAATCACATTGAAAAAAGATGAGTATTTGCTCTGATGCCTTCTTTACCACTTTACTACTACCTTTGCACTTAGTAACTGTAGTATATGTGTGTTCATGGCAAGTCATCTGTAATTTCTTTAGTTCATTACAATCCTAAAACAAGAGTATAGGTTTAAATAAAAATATTCAACTATCTATATAATTTATGTGTCCTAGGGTTTGGGGTTGGAAAGTAGTTCCAAGATAACTAGAGTGCCACCTTTGTGGTTTCCTGTGTTTCTTTATACGTGTGTATATTGATTAGAATTTCCAGGTGAGTTAATGACCATGTGTGGGGTTTTTGTAACATTTGGTTGAAAGACCTTTTGATTTTTCTCTTGGTTATCTGTCATTTCTATTGGCTATCAAAAGAACACACTCCATTTTTGTTCTTCCCTAGGTTTAAAGGTATGTTATGGTATAGTGTGGATTATCTTTGGGTTTCATAAAACCACAGATTGTGATTCTGGTATCTTAACTGTTTAAGTGAAGAAATCTTCTGTGCCAAGGTGATTGTTTTCAAAAGTTGGCATACTATTGTACATGGATGGTTGAGATCCTTTATACTTGCAGGAAGAGTAGATGTTTGTTGTGGCCAAAATTTGGGACCCATCAGGAAATTAATGTGAGTATGTGTTTGGGAGCCTGTTGTATTTTCTTAAAAATGTTTAATGAAATTTAAGAGAAAAAATGCGCTCTATGTATTGTGTCATCATGTCTTATATAAATTCTTTGCATTTCTCTTAGTTTTCACTGTTTGTCATTCTCTTTATTAGCAGCATTTGTTTCCTTGTGGTACAAGGTATTAGAAATATGTAACTTTAGGAAAAGCATCCTTAATATTATTGTCCCTGTTTCCTCTGATGTTTGTCTAGACATGGTTTTATTTTCAGTGTGGAATATTCTCAGAAAATTTAATCAAGAGTTTCAAACTTTCCTACTTGGCCCTTTTTATTCACTCTTAAAGATTTTCATGTTAAGATGTTATTTGTTGCAACCATGATATGGATCTTGGAAGGTTGATTTTCCTAAATTTTTTTTATTCTTCTGCACAGTTTCCAAGATTGATCTTTCATCTTTTGAAATAATTTCAATTACATGTGAATGTCATCTGCTATGATAGTTCTTGATTATGCTTCTCCGATTAGTATTAATACTGTTTCACTTTACCATATATCCCCTACATAGGCAATATAGATGAGAATGACAGAAATATTTTGGCTGGTTATCTCTGTTATTTGGTTCCCAGCCAGTCCATTAGCCACTACAGCTGCTAAAATTGTTGGGCAGGGACACTAGATCATCATCCGTTATCCAGTGATTATTTGCCTAGGTTGAGAGAGGGGGATAGAAGGAAGAAAACTTATACTTCTACCCATCCTGGCTTGGCCAGATGATTCCTCTGCTACAGAAGACATCCCAACAGTTTTTATAGACATGGCATTTCTTCAGTGTCCCTAAAACTAAAGATAAATCTTGGCCATGGAATGTGTCTGTACCAAACTGTAAATGAAACGGGCAAATGTTTAGATTATACAGTGACTCCATTAGAATCAGTGGCATCTTTGTCTTAATATAAATGATTCTTTTAATAAATTGGATTTTTCTCTAAAGGTACACATCCTAATTATTTGCAAACCTTTTTATCTGTCATGTAACTACTACATCCATCAAGAAGGATGGTAGCTTTTCTTCTAGTCTCATACAAAAGAAATCCCTTAAGACCAAAGGAGCATAGATTTACAGATGGAAAGGACTCTTCAAGCTCATCTAAACCAACCCTCTCATTTTGGTGCTGAGGACACTGGTGCCCACAGCGGTTATGTAATTTGCCTAAGATCACCCAGAAAGTAAGGGGCAGAGCCCGATTTAGAACCCAGCTCCCTGGACTCCAGAGCCACCACTTTTTCCATTCCATCACACAATCCATGGTTGTACTGTCAAAGAACATAAGATAGCATCTGTCCTCTTCCCTTTAATTTATGTGATTCTGATTGGAAAAATTATTTAGACAACTTGTTCTGCTCAATTTCAAAAACATTCTCGCCCACTAAATTTTCATTAGCTTTTCCACAATTAAAAAGTCGTTATAAAGAATGAATCTGCTGGATTCAAGAGGACTTGAGTTCAAATCCGGCCTCAGACACATAATACTGTGTGACCCTGGGCAAGTCACTTAACCCCATTGCCTAGCCCAAAAAAGAAAAAAAGAATGACTCTGGAGTCAGTGAACATGCTGTTTATTGCTCGTCCAGTTTTTATTTAAATTCCTACATGCCCATAGCTAGATTTTCTTAGACCCTGAGTTTATGATCTTATGTTCTTTGACTAGTCACTATTTCTTAAGTAGGAATTCTAGAATGAGATGTTACTAAACCTATGTGTTAATGATTACCTCTCTTACTGTTTCTATAAGAACTAAACATTGGACCTCAGTCTGATGTCTTCAGTGATAGGAAACAAAAAATTACTAATGAGTCTTTTAGGCACTTAAAAATTACATATTTGAGGTATTACCATAAAAGGATTTTTCTTGATGTCTCTACTATTTTCCAACATTGGGATAAATTCTTCCTGGTTAAACTCTCTTTCTCAAACTTGAGTTATGATAGTATATGGCGTCTAACTTCAACAGAATGTAATTATAGGAAATAGAACCTTTAAGACTGTGACTGACATCTAGCATGCAGAAGTTACAGATATAGACTAAAAGGACTGATTTTCAGAAACACACACATTATATGTGTGTATAGATATATTTACATATCTATACACACACAGGCCTCCAACATAAATCATAATGATTTCTTTGTATTTAAAACAATTAAAAGTAAATTATCTCTTAATGAAAAGGGAATTACATGAACTAGTCACAAAAATATAGCTTCTGAATCCAATTTCAGGCCACCTTTGTTGAAATAATTAAACTAAAACATTTAAAATCATCATTGCTGCAACTACAAAAACAAATAAGATGCATTAATTTGACATGCAGTCACATTTTTTTGAATCAGACAGAGACCTAATGCCATGAATGACAACCAAGAACTAGTCATAGAAAATCAGCTTGTTTTTCTAATTTACTTCTTTTGTAAGTATACACATAAATTCCATGCCAGATGAGATTTGTCTAAGTCAGTAGTGGCCCACAAAATAATTTCATCATTAAAATGAAGCCATGCCTCACAGGTTCTGTGGAAATTACATATGTTCTCTATGTCATAAGTGCAGTAATTCCTCGTTCATCCTTAATCATTGGAAAATGAAGTCATCCATGTTTAAGGAAAATTTTCAGATAATTGGCAGTTGACTTTTTAAGCATCAAATCTGTCATTTGAGCTATTTTTGATAACCCTTCATAAGATGTCCCCATCTTCTCAAACATCATTAAATCTTTATCTGATCCATCTCTTGGGGCATCAGTTACTGTAACGTGGTATGATTTGGGGTTGAAGGCTAACAAGGTAGGCCCTGTTGTTGCTCTGACACAAAAGGACCCATGTGCTTTCTGAGGACATGTGTCTACTTCTTGGAGTTATTGATGTCTCCTGACCTGCTCTCAGCTCTCCCTTCCTGGGGCTTGTCACATGGTTGGTGCTTGCTTCTAGCAGGGTCCACCCACACGCCATCTTTGTATGCTGCTTTTGCTCTTCTCTAGAACCAGAAGCCACGTAACTGACCTTGTTGGGTTTGTGTATGAAACAAAAATTAAATTTGCTATACATGAGTCCTACTGAATAGAGAATGTGAGCTTACATACATTGATTTTGGCCTTCCTGCCATCTGCTTTGTGTATTCCAGCCCTTTGCTAACTTTCTCATTCTTTCTTGGGATCCAGGCAGGTGAGATTTCTGGATAAGGGAGATGGTTAGGGACGAAGCGTATGATTTCATTGGCATAGGGAACTCCTGAGTCAGGAAATTCCCTCCACCAATGCAGGAGGGCACCCTCTCATGATGTTACAGACCTGCCTAGAGCACAGAGACAATGTGTGCTAGAGGCTCAGAGGCTCTCTTACTATCCCTGCTTTTGGACAAGCGACTTGTGAAGGAAGGAGTTCTGTAAACTTCCAAGCCAATGTAAAAACAAGGTTCTAGAACTCAGAACCTTTAAAAATAAATTCTTAACTAGCAGCTTTCCAACATTTCCTTATATAATATGTGTACATAGAACTGTGTATTTTAGAAACACATCCAAATACATTTCATTCTTGTCAGACGTTTTGTTCTTAGCGAGGCAGACCCACAAACTTCTCCTCTAACTGTGTAAGTCATTCTATCTCTACTTAGTGTCCGCAGACAGACGATCCATTTGGAAAAATAAATGCGAGCATTATACAGCGAATTACGTGTCTAATGGGAACCCTAAAATAATGAGTCGTTCTAGGCAGCCAGATATTCACTATAGCTGAGGGTTTGCCTTAATCGCAGATTTTTTTTAACCATCTTAGATGGAAATTTTTTCTAAGATATATTACATACTTCCCTACCTACTCATATATAGCTGAATATCAGTATTTGATATTTGTATAGTCCTTTAACGTTTTCAGAGCACTTTGCATTTATTACCTCTTTCAAGCTTCACAGCTCTCTGAAGTAGGTGCTACAGTTAGTTATTATCCCCATTTTAGAGATGAGGAAACTGAGGGTAAATGACCTTCCCAGCCAGAGTCTCACAGCTACTGTTGGAATTGAACACAAGTCCCTAACTCAAGTCCAACCCCCTCCTATCCCACATTGCCTCTCTGATTATATATCTCAATTATTGTACTGTTTACCTTGGGGCCCATTAAAGTAGATAGGACTGTTTGATGACCCTACATTAAATGACCTCACTCTGCTGGGTTTTGTTTAAGTTTTGTGTCCACTGATGCCAAAATGTTGATTTCTTTTCTTGTGAATGTCAGTATTCCATTCTTTAATTGTCCTCTTCTCCCTTCAGTTTTAATGTGATAACCAAGTTCAGTGGAGTTGGGTATAAAATAAAAATAAAAAGGTCATGTGACTACGGCCCCCTTCTTGGAGTAAAGTTCACGAATGAGTTTTTGTGACATTTATTTTGTCTGCCCAGGTTGGGTGGTTGTTTTTTTTTAACTGTGGATCTTGGCTTTTCCAGGTTGTCAGATATTTGAGTTTCTTATAGGTGAAATCATATTGTACAGAAAAAGTATATTGTGTTTCCTTCCAATGTGTTTTGATTTCTGTTGGGAGGATCTCTTTGCTGTGATTAAAACCTAGACCATTCAGACATGTATACTGGAACTGACAGTTTAACCCACAGCATTTTCACTCTGAAGCAGACACCAGATTCTTCAGAGAGGAGGCTTGGATGTCCCAGTTACTCCTCTAGCAAACTGTGCAGTGTATCTGGGCCTTTAAAACAAGAGATAAGAAGTTATTGGATGGAGGAGTCTTTAACCTGGGGTCTGTGAAATTTTTTTTTAATATTTGATCATTTCATTTCAATACAGTTGGCTTCCTTTGCAATTGTGTGTGTGTGTGTGTGTGTGTGTGTGTGTGTGTGTGTGTGTGTGTTTGAAACAAACAATACTCTGAGAAGGGGATCTGTAGGTTTTACCAGCCTTCCAAAAGGGTTGCAAAAAAGGTTAAGAAGCCCTTCTCTTAACACACACTGGACTCTGTAAGCCTAATCAAGTCACCTAACTTTTCATTGCTTTAGGCTACTCTTATATATGTCATGGATATCTTTGGCAGACTGGTAAGGCCTATGGACCCCTCGTAACAAAACAAAAAAATTAAGTTCACAATTAAGTTGTGTCCAACTCTTCGTGACCCAGTAGACCATACTGTCCGTAGAGTTTTCTTGGCAGAGATACTAGAGTAGTTTGCCATTTCCTTCTCCAGTGGATTTAGGTAAACAGAGGTTAAGTGACTTGCCCAGGGTCACACAGCTAGTAAGTGTCTGCGGCTGGATTTGAACTCAAGTCTTCCTGACTCCAAGCCCAGTGCTCTATCCACTGAGCCACCTAGCTTCCTCTAATTTAATCTAGAGATTAGTGAAAACAAAAATGTGGGTTTTTCTCCTTCAAGTTCACAAACCCCTTGAAATCTTATCCACATACCTCTGAACTCCAGGTTCTGATACTGTGAATTTCAGAGAAGATGCTGAACTGTATTAGGAGAGGGGGTTTCCTTACCTGGGAGCTCCCTATACAAGTGAAATCACAAGTCCAGTCCTTATCCTATAGATAATCATGAATTTTTTAGAAGGGTAACTTTATCACTTAAAAAATTAATTAAAATTAATTGTAATAAATTGTAATAAAATTACATTTATAAAAGCTCAATGAATTTTTCTGTTACAAAGCTGATTATCAACATTTGTTTTATTTTTTCCTACATTAATTCTCCTTCTTACAAAATTTTATTTCATTCAGATTTAATCTGTCAGATTATCAAAGTTGGTGTTATTTTCTTTGAGAAAAATGAACGTTTGGCAAATTTGATTTTGTGCATAGTTTAAATATAACTCGTACCCCTGGTGTGTAAAAGCCCCCAAGCATTGGAGTTTTGTAAATTCATATCTGTATCTCAGTAACTATTTGCTAATTCAGCCTTCTGCCCCATCCCCATCTCCATGTACTCCGTGTCTTTAAAGACTTTGCAGAAGTCATCTGGCTGCAGTCTCATTACTCAGAATCACACCTAATACAGATAAGTCAGTTACCTGTGGGGCAGCCATGGCATGGATAGGAGTGGGGGCAAGGAGAAAGTCAGTCACTTCATCTACATCTAAAGATCTTGAAAAGGGATTCAAAATAAAACACAATGACTAAAGCATCTCCTGTCTTTGCTAACAATCCAACAGGGAAACCAAGTCTAGAGTTTGAGTCCTTCAAAGTAATTGATCAGGGAAATGGCCCAAAATCTGTCTCCATTTCCACCCTCATGGCGGGAAAAAGTTGCCCAGTTCAGTGCAGTCGCTGCCATGGCAGGTGGAAAAAGAAACGTAACTGCCCAGCCTGGAAAATCCTGCCTGAGAGGATGATAGAAGAGGCAGAGGGGAGAAAACACTTCCAGGATCCACACAGGTAACCCGGAAGGCAGATGGCCTTTATAAAGAGAACTGGAAGTTGACTGTGCAGAAAAGGGAAATTCAGGATCCTGACATACAGTTATAACTGAAATGACCAGTTTCGAGCTTGACTTTGTCATAGTTACGTAATTTTAATGTGTTAGCCAGTGAGCAGCCAGAGTCGGTATATTTAGTCCACACATAACAAAACTGCCCAGCCCACATGTATTAAATGATTGTTCGACTACACTTTGTGCAGTTCCTGGCAGACAGTTGATGCTTTTTAAATGTTTCTCAGCCGGCTGACCATAGCCTAATCAAAATCATGTCCATCTTTGAAAATGAAGTTGTTTCATTCAGTTCTGGTTTTGGTTTGGGGGATTTTTTTGTTGTATTTTCCAAATTGATTGTATTGGTTTGCTGATCTTCAACACAGAACGTAGTCTGAAAATACACATTTCCCTTCTTACTTGAACTCTGGAGAATGAGTGCTGATAGAGGTAAGGAGATCTTTGTAATCATGGTGCCTTTGACTTTTGCAGTGTATTTTATTCTGACTGGCATGTGTCCATCTGGAAATTATTTGAACTACAGAATGACATCATGATAATTTTTATGCTTTCTGCAGAATGGCATTCTTCCTTGCCAATAAAATTCTTAAAAGAGTTCAGCTCATTTTAAAATAAGATTCTTATTCTTTTCAATCTTATGGAGAAACCTGAGTGGCCTCTTGAACACCAGCCCTTAGTACCTGTTCAAGTGTGAGAGAGGTGTCTGCTCTAAAACAATGTGATTTTTCTATCCCCTAGAGGCTGGTCTGGGAATGTCCTTAAGGACTTGGGTGTAAAATAGGATGTTTGAAATATGGTCCAGGTCCCATCTTTAGAACCAACCCAGATTCCCAGATAAGTCTTGGAACAATCCTCGAGATGAAAAATGAATTATGGGCTGGCTTAATCACCTAGGTTTGCCAGGGTTCTAATCTGTATACCTAAATCTCTTGGCCAGAACTAATTCACCTTCTGGGATGAAGGTAACAGGAATGATGGGAAATGACAATCCAATTCATAGCATTCACCTCACTGAATAGCAGGCTTTTATCCATAAGCAGATAGATTCTTAGGATGGTCAGCATCACATCTTTATAGCTGAGGCAGTTTGTAATAATAGCAAATATTTATGTAGTGTTTTGAGGTTTCTAAAGCACTTTACAAATATTATCCAACCACCTTGGTTCTATCATCATCCCCATTTTATAGATGAAGAAACTTTTAGATTTGGCCTAGAATACTATAGCTAGTAAGCCTAGATGCTAGATTTGAACCCAGATGTTCCTGACTTCCAGGTCCAGCACCCTAACTAACCATTGTGCCTCGAGTCAAAATAATTAGTGAACTTCAGTGATTCAAGACTTTCTGTCAAACAGTATCCTAGCTCAATTATAAAGCATAAAGCTTGGATGCTGTCTCTGAATGTTATTTAGTCTTTTCCCCTATTCCAAGAGCTAATTTATTTTAAACCTCTTGGATCCGCAGGATTCTTAACGCCTTCTCTAACCCATAGTTGAGTTGAACGTGTTGCCTCAAGACTATTTGTAGCATTTCATCTTTGTCCATATTTATAGAATATTAATTTTAGAATCTACCATGATGGGTAAAGGCAAACTTCCTCCCAAAAGTATCCTAGGTTGACAAGGTTAGAAATGAATCTCTGACTCAAATGGCCACTGTCCTCACATTTTAGTTCAACATTTTATGGAATAAAGAAAACATAAGCACATAACTTATATTTTCTTCCTTTGCTGTTTTTTTTTTAATCATCATTATGATCTGGTATAGTTTATTGTTACTGATTAATTATGTCATCTCCTGCGTCAATCCTTTCTTGGTGATGACAGTCCTATAGTCCCGTGTGTGTTTATTAATTGGTTCTGAGTCACACAAATAAAAATTATCTTTGATAGTGATTTCCACTCAGTGTGGTTAGACTATGTTCTGGTAATTGAATCAGGACCAATCAGAGCATATGAAATGAATGGCACTTAGGTTCATAAGAATTACCTGAAGTTCATGAGCGATATCAAATAATGCATTAGCTTGAGTTGTTGGGTGGTTTGATCCCCTCAGGTTGTTAGCAGCCCGTCACTTCTCTGTTTCAGTAGCAACGAAGCTATTGCTTACTGAGCTTCCCAGTTTGTCTTTTCTTTATTGTTTTTCTTCAATACTTAAGGGTCAAATCTTAAAGCATCGTGATTTCATGGATGTGGGTAGAGTCTCCCCCCGTGTAGATCTTGTCTTCATAGATGGTTGCTCTAGGTGAAAAACTTCATCACCTGGGAAACCACCCTTCTGATAATAATCTCAATATAGCAAAGTTGAAGTTTTCTCATCATATACAAATTCAGTTGTATAGTTATTAAGATAATATAGACTACCTTACCAGTGTCCCTTAACAGTCCAGTTTGGATTTTGATTCCTGTTGAAAACAAAAAGGTTAGTCATTTGAAAGATGTTTCTTATTATCCTCTGAGTTATTCTAACTTATGTCTCAGTAACCACCTAATTCTTTTTTTTTTTTAAATCTCTGATGATACATGACATTTTCCTATTTCGCTTGGGATCAAATATGTGGGTACTGTTGAGGAACATCCCTTGGTGCTGGCCTGATCCACATCGTTTTGCAATGACTATTAACATATAATTTCATTAATTTAAGCAAACCTCACAAAAAGTCACGAAAACCTTCCGCCATGTTCATTGACCAACCGCCCATTTATTATTTTCAAGATTTTAATTTTGATTTTTTGTTGTTGTTGCTATTGACAAAAACCAACATGAACAGTTTCATATATGAAGAATAGAAAAAGAGGACTACATATAAAACTTAAAATCTGTGTGGTAACTAGTTTTTTTAAGTATATGATAAATTCAACATAATAGCTCCAAAACTATCCTGTTTCACCCTCTGAACTTTCCTTCTGTTCTTTCCTGTGCATTTTTAAAGAATTTTTAGTGGTGTTCTTTTCTTCTTTTTTTTTTCTTTCAGTATCATTATCATTTCCCCTCCCCCCCAAAGAAAAGTCCTTCATTGTATTGTAACAAATACGCTTAGTAATTCAAAAGAAATCTATACATTGGTCATGTCTGAAAATGTCACTTACTCTACATCGCTAGACTCTACCATCCTTCAGTCAGAACATGGAAAGCGTATTTCATTGCTCTTCTGGAACCGATGCATTGATAAGAGTTACTTTCTTTAAGATGGGATCATTGTACCGGTTCTCTGTGTTCAGCTTACTTCCCTCTATATCAGTTCATACAAGTCTTCCCAGGTTTCTCTGATTCTGTCCCTTTTTCAAAATTTTTACAGCCAAATAATATTTTGTTACATTCATATACCTTAATTTGGTCAAACATTCCCCAATGGACAGGTACCCCCTCTGTTCCTAGTTCTGTGCTATGATAAAAATGCTGCTATGAATAGTTTTACACATTAAGTCCTTTCACTCTTTTTCTTTTACCTCTTCGGATCATAGCCCTGTTAGTGCTATTACTGGATCAAAGTGTATGTACACTTTAGTCATTAACTCTTTGGTTCTTTATGGAACTTTAGCTGCATATTGCTTTCCAGAATGACTCTGCCTTTCACATCTCCACCAACAGTGCATTAGTAGTGTGCCTCTCTTTCATAGCCTCTCCAACATTTATCATTTTCTTTTTTTTAATCAGTCTTATCTGAATGAGGTGGGACCTCAGAATTGTTTCAATTTGCAGTTCTCTTATTAATGATTTGTAGTGTTTTTTCATATGGCTGTTCATAACTTATTTTTCTTTTGAGAACTGCCTGGTTATATCCTTTGATGATTTATCTACTGGGGAATGGTCCTTGTTCTTATATATTGGAATCAGTTTGTGTATATCCTGGATATCACAGTAATGATAATATCTAGTATTTACACAGCATTTTAAGGTTTGAAAAGTGCTTTACAAATATCATTTCATTTGATCCTCACGGTCACAGCAGGTAAGGGCTGTTATTGTCTACATTTTTACAGATGAAGTTGAGTGATTTGTCCAGGTTCACACAGCTTGTAAGAGTCTGAGGCAGGATTTGAATTCAGATCTTGATTCCAGGTCCAGCACTCTATACATTTTACTACCTAGCTATCCCAAATAAAGATATGAGACCTTTATCAGAGAAACTTGTTGCAAAGATATCTCCCCAGTTAACTCCAACCACCCATTTATAACATTGTTCCTATGGAACTAAATACCTTGTAGGTCATTTTGCCTAACGTCAAATTTTCTGCAGAACTAATTAATGGCAGCCAGGGCATACTTCTATACATTTATTTCTATTTTGCAAAAAGAAAAGGCAAAGACCGAATGCTTATCCAACTTTATAGCTTTGTTATTTCATTTTACTTCTAAATATCATGCTATCTGAATGCAATCTCATATGCTGTGTGATGTTAGCTCGCTAATCCATGCACATTTAAGTCATGAAGAGCTTAATTTGTTTGCTTAACCTAAAGTGAATGAGATTATATTGTGTTTATGTACAGTATATGTATCCTGACTCAGTTCCTGTCGGAGCCTCTGCTTTTCTTCTCTGGCACTGCTAATTATGAACATGGAATAGCCTGTGGTGGTGGTGGTGCATGCTTGTAATCCCTTGTACTAGAACAGGCCGCGGCTGGTGGATCTCGAGTGTGAGATTCCAAAGTGAAGTCGGGCTGACGTTAATCAAGTGTCTACACTAAGGCTGGCACCAGTATGGTTGGCCCCTGGAAGCGGAAAGCTACCAGGCTGCCTAAGGAGGGTTCAACCGGCCCGGGGTTGGAAGATGGAGCAGGTTTACATCTTCCGTACCCCTCAGAATTGAAGATCTTTGTGCCTGTGAGGTGACCACTCCCCATCTAACTTGGGAAGGATAGGAAGATCCAATCTAAAAAGGGGGGGGGAGAATATATGGAAATATGTGCTGACTTAGGGAGTTAAAGGTTGTTTACATAGTAAGTTCTTGGAGTTTTCACTTCAAAGACTAATTTGGGTGCTGAATTGTTTGACTGTTCTTTATAAATATCATTTGAGAATGTTCTTTCAGAGATTATTTATAACTTTTTGATCACTAAGTGTTTTCTATGTAAAAACTATACCATTCCTATCCTCATTGAGAATGTGTATCTTTGAAATTTAAAATTTTCTTTTAAAAAAAACTTTTTAAAAATCATTTTCTGGATTTTATCATATGGGGGGGTTAAGTATTATTTTATGATGGGTTTTTTTCTTTAATTTAATAAGGTACGGTGTTTGTGTTTCTAAGGCTCTACTTTATGGTATTCTATATTTCTCATTTTGCATTAAAATCTGTACTTCCTTATTCCTTTTCTTTGTGCTCATTTTTTACCCCGCTTCCAACAGCAATTCATGGATCAGATTTAGTTTTAACTTGAGCTTTTAAATGTTCTCTCTTCTTCTTCCCTTCTACCACCTTCTTTTTCCCCCACAAGAGTATTTCTCCACACTCAAAATGCACACTTATTGTTTGCTAGGCTTTGCTTAGCTGTATAAGTCTCAGAGTGTGTGTGTGTGTGTGTGTGTGTGTGTGTGTGTGTGTGTGGCATGCATGTTTGTGTATGTTTTCCTATCCAGTGACTCAGAAATTATCCATAATAAAATAAAAACAGTGACTTGGGTTAAATTGCTTTTATTTTCACCCCCTTCTTTGACCTGACCAATTCCTGGAAAGGCTCACATTCTTTTATTTTTTGGCTTGCAATGATAGCATAGGTGACCAGCAGTAAAGTTGAAGAAGAACATTAGCCTCAACTAGGTGGAATGTGTTTTTAATCCGAATCAGTGAGTGATGGAATCAGAGCACAACTCATCCTTTTATTCTTGGAAGGGGGTCATAGAACCAGGTAAATCCCAATGCTAATAACAAAGCTGCCTTGTTTATGGAAGACATAGGTTGGGTATTGATGTCTAAATTAGCCCTGTTATTTAATCAGTTTCAGATCTATAAGTTACAGGTAATCGGCACATAAGAACAGTTGGTATAGGTAAAGTCACCATACCTAACTCTGAAGTCACTGGGGAGATGGTAACCCATCTGGTAATCATTCTTGGTCTTCACAATTTGCTTCTGGAGGTCTTTAGCAGATGTACTGTATCCATTTAACACATAATTGGCAAACAGCAGCTTTCCCTGGATGTACATCTGCAAAAGGCAGCGAAGCAAATTAAAATGCATATATAACAAATTAAAAGTCCCCGGAACAAAATCTTTGACTCTTCATGTGAAAGGAAGACAAATCAGCAAGAAAACCAGAGAAAAGATTAAGCTAATAGGCTAGACAGATAATGTTTAATGCTATTTTATGGATTGGATTGAAGACAGCCAGGGGACTGTGTCAGAAAGGCAGAAAGCTCTGGCTTGAGTTCAAATTCCACCCCTTATTCTCTGGGTAACTTTGAATAAGTCACTTAGCCTCTCTGACCCTCAGTTTCCTGATCTGTAAAATAAGGGGGTTGGATCCGATGACCTCTTAGGTCCCTCCCACATCTAAATTTATGATTCTGTGAATTCTGCTTCTATTTTTGCAGAGGAGGAAATGCTCAGGAAAGTGTTTCTAGTGTAAACAGTTCTCATCAATGATAGTCGTGGGACCCACCGTTTTGAATATGACCATGCACCTCATGCACCATGAGGAAGTGATAGAAGAGGAAGATGAAGCATATGAAGCCAGGAAAAGTCCCTGGATGTGACCAAACAGAAACTAAATTAATCTGTCCTGGAGACAGTGTGATTTTAAAAGCACTTGGGATTGATTTTCTTAAAAAAAAAAAAAAAGTAAGATTCCAAAAGACTGAGGCAGTAATTCCCGTGCAAAAAAGTGACCAGTGAGAAGAAAAAAAAAAGCGTCTACCCTTCTGATTTCTAGAAACTTTCAGAATCTTTATGCATCACTTAAAAAAAAGGAATCCTCAAAGTTCAAATTAATATAATAGCCAATCTTGAATCTAGGGCATAGATTGGCCAAGTACAGTCTGTGGACCAGATGCAAACCCTCCTGGACAGCCCAGGAGTACCTTACAAAGCTCACTAACATAAGCGTTATTGCTTTTTGCAACTTTCTCATTCCCTTGTCAAAAAGGAAGAGTTAATGTGCTTTTATTTATATTAAAAACATTGTATTAAAAAAGCTTCTCCCCCCACACTTTGTTTTGATCCCAAACATAGGAAGAGAACACTTTTGCTAAAAGGAAAAGCACCATAGTATTACCAAAGCTACCCTTGACCAGTATTTCGCTTTTTTTTTTTGTAAACAGAATGAGAAACTCATACCCTGCTGAGCTCTTACAGAGCTAAAAACAGATGTTTCCAGTGGAGACTCCATGTCCAGCCCCAATCACTCAAACCCTAACGAGTCTGACCTTCAGGACAGACTAGAAGCAGTATTTATGTAGGCTGGTATGTAACGTGTTGTATGCCATCAATTCCTTCTATTTTTTAAAAATAAATAGTCTGTGCTTCTTTTGATCATTTTTGGTCTCCCAAGAGAGCTTGGAAAAATAAGTAGGCTCGAGAATGTCTTAAGAGACCCAAATAAATGGCCAGAGAACATAAGGTTAGTGGTGGGAGGTGGGGAATAGTATAGGAAGAACTTGAGGTCAACTATTTGTATTTTTTTAGTGATGAAGGGTCATAAAAGAGATCATTCCAAATAACACATTCATTAAAACATCTAGCAAGTCCTAGCTTATGCCCTATAATATTTCCCTAATGATTAATAATAATAATAGCTAGCATTTATATAGTAGAATGTCTAAAGGCTTGAAGAGCCCTTTGCATGCTTTATTTCTTTTGACCTTCACAACAACCCAGGGAGGTAGGTGGTATTATTATCCCTATTTTACAGGTAAAGAAACCGAGGCAGAGAGAGGGCAAGTGACTTGCTCAGAGTCAGCTAGTGAGTATCTGGGGCTGGATTTGAACTCAGGTCTTCCTGTCCCCAAGTATAGTGCTCTATGTATTGTTCTACCTAGCTGCCCTTAATCTCACAACTGGAAACACCAGGCTAACTTCCTGAAAATTATCTCAGGACCCTTCCTCTTGGACATTCTATTTTGGCAAGATTTTAACATTTACTGGTAAACATCAGCACCTGCTGCATTAACTTGAGAACAGAATAAATCTCAAAAGCTGCTTCTATCATGGATTGCTCGTGTTTGACTTAGGAATGTTCTAGCTAACTGAAGTAGCCATTCATTGTCTTTTTTCTGTGGCCTTCTAGAATAGGGGTACTTAACCTTTTGGGGAGGTCATTGACCCCTTTAAGCAGTCTTGTGAAACTTGTGCATCACTTCTCAGAATTATGTTTTTTCCAAGCATGGTGGCTCATGCCTGCAGTGCCTGTTGCCAGGGAGATTGAGGATAGTGGATTGGAGTTCTGAGCAACAGTGGGGTTAAAGTGCTTTATGATTGAGTGGCTTTACTAAGCCTGATACTGATGTGGTGCTCCCCTGCCCCAGGGTCAAAGGGTCACCGAGCTTCCTGATGAGGGGTAAGCCAGCTGAGTTGGAAATGGAGCAAGTCAGAGCTCTCCTGTTGAATAGTAGTGAGATCGGGCCCATGAGTGACTGCCATATTTCCAGTGTGAGCAAGACAAGGAAAACCAATCTCAATGTAAAAGAAAAAAAAGTTCTTAAAAGAACAAACCAAAATACATGGGATTTACAAAGGAAACCAAAGGTTGCTGGAAGAAAAGACATTATTTTTTTCCTCCGGGTTCACAGACCCCACCACAAAGTCTATCCACAGACTTTAAGAATCTGTTCTAAAGCAATTTAGCCCCAACATGTCAAAAGCACAAGTAGCATACTGCTTAAACTGGGTATTATTATCCCTATGTCTTAAAACATAGTATCTGTGTTATATTTAATTTACACTATAAGGTCCCTAGAAGAGACCAGTCAAATGGTCTTCTCTCATCACACCATAGCTGGGATATTAGGTTCAATTTTAGGAACCACATTTTAATAGAGATATTAGCAATTGGGGGCAGATCCAGAAGAGGGGAACCTCAACTCCAATCTGACATCTTCAGGGAAAGGAGGATGGCATAGAGGAAATGTACTAGCCCTGGAGTCTGAGGAGCTCCATTCAGTTCTCACTCCAATATCTGTGTGACCCTGGGACAAATAACTCTCTGGGCCTCCATTTACTCTTCTAATGAGGAGGTGGGATTAGGTGACCTCTGAGGTCCCTTCTGGTTCCAAATTTATCCAAACCATCCCTTCCAAATATGAGCTCTTTCAACCCTCTCCACAACTCTGGGAAGTAGGTGCTAGTATTATCCCCATTTTACAGTTGAGGAAACTGAGGCAGACAAAGGTTTAGTGACTTGCCTGGGATCACACAGCTAGTAAGATTTAAAATTAAGCACGGGAAAGCCCACTATGTGCCAGGCACTATGCTAAAGGATGGCGACACAAAGAAAGGCAAAATCCTGTAATCCTAAGTGACTAGACTGGTCACAAAAAGATTTGGGGGATCTCTGACACAAAAAACTCCTGTTTAGACCATGCCCCTCTTACCTTTTCAAAGTTGTCCCTCCCGCTTCCAGAAACACTAAGCTACATATTCTGTGACTTAGTTTCCCTCTTAGGGCTTTTTCATTTTGTATTTCTTTTGCATGTGTAATAATAGAGAATTTGGAACTCAAATTTTTTTTTAAAAAATGTTAAAAATAATAATAGCACCTACATAATAATACTTTAAGGTTTGCCAAGCCCTTTATATATGTTATTTCTTATACCCTCTATTTACAGACAGAAGGAAATAGATACTTATTAAGTGTTTGTACTAAGCACTTTGCAATTTGATCCTCACCACAACTCTGGGAGGTAGGTGCTATTATTATCCCCATTTTGCAGATGAGGAAATAGAGGCAGACAGCAGTTATGTGATTTGCCCAGGGTCATACATCTAGTAAGATTTAAAATGAAACACAGAGGAAAGAATTCTGGCTGCGGAGTCAGGACCTGAGTTCACCTCTGACACTACCTGTGTGACCTTGGGCAAGTCATCACCTCTGTGGATCTCAGTTTCCCTATCTGTAAAATGAAGATGAGATGTACTCTAGGGCGATAATCACCCATGATCTTGCCTCTGACTTTTATCACCTCTGTGACTTTGGATAAGTCACCTCACTTGCCTTTGGGACTCAGTTTCCTCATCTGTAATATATATAAGAGTGTGGGGCTCCATGACCTCTGAGGTCCCTTTCTGTTCTAGGGCTTGGATCTTATGAGTTTAGGAACACAACCTCAACAGCCTTTTTTTTCCATTATGTGGAAGACTTTTAAAAGAGCTGTTTTTGGTAATGCAAATGTATTTGGAATTCCCCAGCCCCAGAGGAATTTGGTTTACCAGCTATGGCAAGACTCAAGCAGTTTTCCTCAGGTCACAGGGAGGTGTCTGTTTGTCTCCCCTTGTCAGGAATCAAGGGCACAATGAGGCATCTGGAGCTCCAGCCCTAAACATAGACCTGCAAGGTCACGGGCAAGTCACTCACTCACTCAGCTAGGGCCAAGCCCAATTCTATGGGAGGAATGTTTTCACAATTTGGTGTCCTCATGGGGAAATTCCATCCCCACCTTCTACCTGCCCACCTGCTTTCATCCTGAGGTGTCACCTTTCAAAAAGACTCTTCCCCCATTCAAGAGGATCACTGGTTCCAATACTAGCCTCAACCCTGTACTTTAAATCAGAACCCATGACCCCCTGGCACTCCTGGCTGCTACAGCAGGAATGCAGGAAATCTGCAGAATCAGTCATCTCAGGAAGGGACACAAGCATGCTAATTCCTTACAGAGTCATACCAAGCATGCCTGCTGCTCTCGGTTTAGTTTTAATTCCTGTATTTTGATTGAGCTGGAAAGTCTTCAAAGAAATCTATTAAACCCTTAATAGACTCGGAAGGGGAAAAGCAAAAAAACAGAAAGCTCTGGATTGTTCTTGGTAATTGGCTAATTATTAGTTGGGAGGGCTTTTTCAGGCTGAGTTCCCAATTCTTAAGTCTTGTGAAGGTTTTCTTGCTTTGGGAAAGAATAAATAGGAAACAGTGGGGAGAGTGGGAAGCAGTCTTTGCTACTGTATGCCTTTCTTCATGGGTCTTTGATAAGGGGATGCCTGAGGACTAGAAGCTGGGCATG